GTACCTGCGCAGGCATGGCGGGTGCCATGGCGTCCCGGTGGCTCAGTGGTTAAGAGCATGTCGCGGGAAGCGGGAGGTCCCGGGTTCGGGACTGGTAGTATACACAATTTTTTCGGCGACCAATTGCTTGGGGAGGTATATCCACAGAAGATTGGGTACCTGCGCAGGCACGGCGGGTGCCATGGCATCTCGGTGGCTCAGTGGTTAAGAGCATGATGTGGGAAGCGGCAGGTCCCGGGTTCGAGACCGCTCTAGGTACCCTTTTTTCGGGACCAGATTTCTCGAACGGCAGCTCAAGAGGAGTTGCGACATCGCCGCCGACAAGCTGGTTCGGTGGCTGAGCGGTCAGGGTAGAGGAGTTGACTAGACTCGGCACTCGGGGTCGCGGGTTCAAATACCCAATGTGACCCCTCTGAGGTAAGGCCTCTGAATCTGGACTCTCACTGTACCACAGAAACCGCGCGCACTTCGGGTGGGCCAGCCCAATACGAACTCCACTAATCTGTCGAATTGCGCGGCAGGGATGCGTCGGATGAAGGCCCGGTTCCCATAAGAACACCGAAGCTGATCGGCGGGTCTCCTTGAGACTTTCGTATTGCCACTTTTTGCTGCCGATTTTTTCCATGAAACGCACTGCGGGAATGGCGCATCATTGCCCAGCGGTACAATGTAGTTCAGTGTGCAAGCTACCAGGTGCGAACTGGTCTTACTTCGGCGTCTTGGGCCCGCCGAGACTCGTTTCCAGGACCGAGAGCCCCAAACATTCCGAACCGTCCTGGAAACGGGTGACAAACGTCGCCAATGACACCCGTTTCCAGGACCAAACGGCAAACTGGTTGAATTTCGCCACTCCCGTCCTGGAAACGGGTGTCCGGCTACCTCAGGGACGCGTTACGGTCCTGAATCTTTCAGGACCAAGTCTAACCGTGCAGCACGTTTCACACGCGGATCTTGAAACTGATTGGGCATCCGCCGGGCTCCCCTCACATCATCTCCCTTCTAGTCCCTTCCCCCTTCCCCGGCACGTATTGCGATTTTAAACAACTCCACTCTTCGAACAATACTACTTTTCCGAACTCCTCTCCATCCCGCGGCATCACGGACACCCCCCCCTCCCCCCCACCGGCAATATGACCGACCGCTTCTGCACCTGGGCGCACGCCTCTCGTGTGTGTGTGTGTAGGTGTGTGTGTGTGTGTGTGTGTGTGTGTGTGTGTGTGTGTGATACGAGAGGGGGGCAGGGGCAGTGAAAACCTGCTACACACCTACCTATTAGAGCACACTTTCGCTACCGCTGCCGCCACAGCCTCCGCTTCGGCGCAGACCAGCCGGCGGTCATTCCCTTGGCCGGCCCAACCCAGAGCGCGCGCGCGCACACACACACACACACACACACACACACACACACACACACAGGAAGGAAAGATGTGCAGACGGGCAGTATGAGCCGCGGATATCGGACATGGCGATTCCATAAGAGACCACACACCAGGATCGTGTCTACGGTTGAGCAGCTCGGGGTGGCACGGCTTGGCGGGGGCCGCTGGCATCTGAATACAGCGGAGGAGGAGGCACACTGTTGGACCTGACTCCTCGCGGATGGGCAGCCAGACAGACAGGCTGACAGGCCGGGCCATAACCGTTATTGTAAAGTAGACAAACTGCGCCCGGCCGATGGACACTAACGCCGCCACTATATCGATCGGACGAAGCCGATGACGAGTGCCATGCATCACACCGCTGCAAGTGCCCTTGTACGGAAACAGGATATGAAAGCACACACACACACACACACACACACACACACACACACACACACACAACACACACAGGCTAAACGAGCGCTAAGTTCGCGCGCCTCGGAATCCGGTCGCGACTCCATCAAGACGGATGAATGGCGCCGTGATCGCCCCCTCCTCGTTAGTCCGCTTCATTCCGGACTCATCACCTTCCAGTGTGGTGCCGTCTCTCTCTCTCGCGGGACTGCCCGCGACGGGTGCGAGAGAGACTGCGCGATAGCCGCGGTAGCGCAACCGATGAGGACGTGTCGGCGGCCACTCGCGGGCGGAGCAGGGGAAGCAGGTGCCGACGACTTGCCGACTGCACTTCGTTGTCTCTCTCGCACTCATGGGGCATCCCGTGGGGGCGCGAGAGAGACAAAGCGGCGAGACAACTCGTCGCTAGGCTGACGGGCCGAGCACGAGGGTGGCCTTTCTCCCACAGCGCTCCCGATCAGCAGTCAACTACCGCCTTAAAAAATCATCGATAAATTTGGCAAAAGACTATTTTATTGTTGTTGTTTTTTTGGCTGGCAGTGCCGCCGTCGTTGTCTGCTGCTGCTGACTGATCCGACACGATGAGGACATTAAAACGCTCGCCGCGGGCGTCGCCGCGTCGCCGCCGGCACCGGTTGGTACGTAGTCGACGAGATGGCCCGGGGACAGGTTCAAACCGCACACGCGCGGCGCCGAGAGCAAGACGGGCAGCACCGACGGGCTCGGCACGCTGTCTCCCTCGCACTCACGGGGCGCCCCCTCGGGGTGCGAGGGAGACAGAGCGCCGTTCGAGATCTGTCTGCTGGATGAGGGCGCCGGCGGTGAAAATTTGAGAGGGAGTCGCCCCGCGGTGCGCGGCCTGGCCGTCGGCTCGCCGTCGTGGCCGTCGCCGCGGGGACGCCGTCGACGCGACCGCCGCGAGGGTGTTGGTCTCGCGGGGCACTCGGCTGGGCCGCGCCGCCGGCGATGCCCTTTCTCAGTCACGACGCCGACCTCTGCACCGGAAGCATTGCGGATTCCACGCGCGGCTTGCCCGGGGACCGGGGTTCGATCCCCGGCGCCGCGGACTCCATTTTACGGGCCGTAATGGAGCGAGCTGCTTGCCGCTTTCCAGCGGCTGGCCGTGGATTTGGTTCTAGTGCACTGGCAAAGGCGGCGATGAGTGGCTGGATGCGCGCCGTATCAGGCCGAATCCAGGACAGGCTGTCTCTCTCGCACCCAGCGGGCCGCCCCGTGAGTGCGGCAGAGACAGAGCGTCGAAAGCACGCACTGTTCGGCCTGCTGACGTCGTCGTCATCGCCGTCGTCCAGGGCTCGGCTCGGCGCGGCCGGCTCCTGGCCTGGGGCAAGGTGGTTCCGGTTGCCGGTATTCAGACCGACCAGAGAGGAGAACCTGGAGAAGCGGCAGCCGGCCGCAGCCTTGCTCTCTCATGTCACTTCGGGGAGCCAACGCGTTTACCGAATTCCAGGGACGGGCTGCGCCTGTCTGTCCGTCCGTCTGTCCGCACACTCCACCAACCGAAGGGCACGCACTGCAGTGTCACTACCAGTGCATCGGCCTTGCAAACACCCCACGCTGCCCGTAAGGTTCGCACCAGAAAGTCCTCCGGCGCGTGGGATTGCGACGCGTGCATTCCTCCGCGCCGCACAGTTCCATTTAGCGACTCTGGATTGCTCTCCGGACGAGGAATCCATTGGTGGGGTCACACGTTCGGTTCGAGTTCCATTTAGCGACTCTGGAGCTCAAAACGCGTCTAGAGTTTCGTCCTCCTCCACTGGTCTTCTGGCCCACTGTGCGCCGGAGCGCCCGCGAACGCCAGGGTGGGCCGCCCCGCCGAGCCGCCGGGTGTTGCGGCGCAGCCTACCCGCCACTTCGCCGGCGCTCCGTCTCTCTCGCACTCGTGGGGCGGCCCGCGCGTCCCGCGGGGGTGCGAGAGAGACGGAGCGACACGCCTCGGCGCCCCGGCCGAGCGAAAGGGTGCGAGATAAGCGCCCATTGCGTTGCCATAAGGCTTTGCAGTGTAAAAGGCGAGGAGGATGCGAGTGATAACAAGCCAGCGGCTATCAACAGTTTTCTATCCTCACTTTTTCCCGCCGTCGTTCTTGTGGCTTTGATATGGAAATGTCGTTTACACATATTGGTTCCTTTTTGCGTGAGGTAAAGCCAAACGCGCGTCTTCCCGCGAGCGCCAATGTAGACCTATGCACTCAAGATTGATTTTCTGGCGTTCGTTATTTCATGCTCGAGAGCTTGTAGCAATCATCCGCGTCTAAATTGGATCCCCCGTAATGAAGTTATCAGCATAGTGTAACGAAGTGGTCCTGGAAAGAACATGCTCACTTGGCATCGGACTCTCCACAGCACTGCGTTTGCACTGCTCGACATCACCAAAGCAAAGTGCGCATCTGGAAAGGACGACGGGTATCGATACCCGAAGTGCTCCGAAGGACCTCGAATCAGCCGGCTGCCATCTCACAGTGGACCAGAAGACCGGTGGAGGCGGCAAAAATTCTAGGCGCGTTTTGAGCTTCAGAGTCACTAAACAGGACTCAAATCGAACGTGTGACCCCACCAGGATTCCTCGTTCGGAGAGCAATCTATTGATGGGGTCACACGTTCGGTTCGAGTTCTATTTAGCGACTCTGGAGCTCAAAACGCGTCTAGAGTTTCGTTCGCCTGCGCCGGTCTTCTGGCCCACTGTGCATCTGAGCCAATTTGAAGGCGTGCCATCTCGGCAGGCTGGCGCGGCACCACTGTTTCTGCAGAGTGATCCCGAAGACACTGTCGCTCTGTCTCTCTCGCACCGCCGGAGGCCCATGCGGAGGCCCTACGAGTGCGAGAGAGACAGAGCGATGAAGCCACTGTTCGGAATCGGCCGTCTGATTGTTGGTTTTTCATCCGCCTGTCGGCGGTGCCGGCGTGTTCAACTGTCGTCCGGGGCGGTGCCTCTCTCTCTGCCTGATCTCTCACTTACTTTCTTCCAACACGCGTGTGCCAGCACCTATTTTTTCTCTCTCTCTCTTTCTGGCAGCCTCCTCGACGCCGATTAAACTTTAAATGCCTTCGAATGGTCCAGAAAGCGTCCCCGTTTTGTAGCGACTGGCCGAAACTACTGCAAGTCAAACGAATGATTGATGGAGCTGTCGAGTCCGGGTCCACGAGAGATCCTTCTCGTCCGCCGGGACGCGGGTTCGACACCGGCCGCCCGGTTCGTCTTCGACTTACCACGAGCGTCATGGCGCGGCTAGGGGTGACGTAGGGTAATCCTCGACTTGGCGGTGGCCGCGGCCAACATGACACACGCACACACAGGCACACACACACGCGCACACTCGCGCACGCACACACGCGCACCGGCCTCGATCAGCGAGACGCGCGACTGTCCGGGACGGCGTCCGCGCCGCGATTCCCGAGATGCTGGCTCGGCTACCGGCTGCCCGTCCTCAACAGGACTGGCTACACGAGGCTGCGGAGCCGTGGGGCTGCGGAGCCGCGGAGCCACGCGGGGCTGTCGGAGCGAGAGAGGAGGAGGGTTGGGAGGGCCGCGGGGTTCCTGGAGCGTGATGTTGTTGTGGCGCCGCTGGCAGGGCCGGGCCCAGCAGCCTGCCTTCCCCGCCATTCCCTGCTGGCCGCTACCTCCGCCGGACACTCCATCCGACTGGACCAGGACGTCCCCCCCCCCCCCCACCGGTCCGGCTGGCCGCTCGATGTCCCTCTTCTGGTCGTCTTCATCTGACCCTATTCCTGGCCTAGCCAAGGCAGAGCCAAGGCCCTCTCCAAGGCCCCCAACCTATTCCCGCGGCCCGGAGGCGAGAATCCTGGGATGAAAATGAGGAGGAGGGTTATGGCGACGTCCGGTGGGTACGAATCAGCATTTTCCGACGCCAGCCGAAAATTTGCCAAAAAAAAATTGTTTGGAATTTGCTTGAATTTTAACTCATTGAAAATATTTTAATTATTGGTATGGAGGGTTCCGGTGAAATGGGCATTCGAAAGCTATAAAACTTTTGCTCTGCTCATACGTGTCTGCAGGTTTTGTCTCGGAAACATTTTTGATACACACCATCATTTCCCTTGTAAAGTATCGTTATCTTTATTCGGAGTAAAAAAAACTTGAATTGTTCTAAAAAAAAAATAATTTCTACACCTCGTTTCAAAGTCGCAGAGACGTTGGAAAAATTAGTCACGGCACCATTAGCATAAAACGGAGCAGGCACTACTTCCTCGTTTGCTCGCATAACGCTTTTTCCCGCTCAAATATTCTTTTGCTTTCTCATCATGCGCCTTACGTCTCGTTGAGGAGGAAGACCGCGCCGCCGCGTCCCCCCCCTCCCCCCCCCCCAGTGGTCGGTCTGTTACCGCTTGGAAATACAACCAGCGTTAACACACACTTAAAATAGGGCGGCGCTATTTAAGTAATGTACCTCCTCGACGGCGCTCAAAAGTTACGGCCCGCAAATTGAAAAAAAATATAGTACCTTGATGTTTTCCTGAGTCGTGAATGAGCTACGCTACGCTTCCAATAACAAGCCCGTCACGTGGGCATTTCCCGCCACAAAAAAAAACAACAGCTAGAGTCAGTCGGTGCCGCCCCGCAACAGTGTTCCGTAACTTCACCGCCCTATCCCCGTGCGGATTTCGAATTATTAATACCGCGCGCGATTTGGACGCGGACGATCGTATCTCGGGATATACGTTCCGCCGTAGCGGCTTTTACTGTAATTAATTAGTTAAAACGAAACCAGCCTGTCTACCTCTGTGTGCGTGTGTGTGTGTGAGTGCGTGCCTCGGATCGCTAAGTATTCTGTTGCACTTTGTTGCGCGCAGCTTTTCGCTTTTCAACCAGCCCGACTGACTATGAAGTAGGAGTGCCCGGGCTGCGCTCTGCAGATTCCCCTTGCATTCAAGGCGAGACTCCCAGCGGCAGGCTGTTCCGTCTCGTGTCCGTCATCCTGGAGTCTTCTGGACTGTTGGAGACAGTCGGCAGTGCGGCCCGAGTTCCGACCTCTCGAAATTCACGACGAATTTATTCGGATTCATCGCCTAGCCTGCCGCCCATGTCTCTCCAGTAGACTCTGCAGCTTGGCAACCAAGTCTCTCCAGTAGACTCTCCAGCCTGGCACCCAAGTCTCTCCAGTAGACTCTCCAGCCTGGCACCCAAGTCTCTCCAGTAGACTCTCCAGCCTGGCACCCAAGCCTCTCCAGTAGACTCTCCAGCCTGGCACCCAAGTCTCTCCAGTAGACTCTCCAGCCTGGCACCCAAGTCTCTCCAGTAGACTTTCCAGCCTAAACACCCAAGTCTCTCCAGCCTGGACACCCAAGCCTCTCCAGTAGACTCTCCAGCCGGCCATTTCCCCCAGCCTTCTCCAGTGTGGCCGGCGCGCACAATAACCCGGCTTTCGGTTCCTTTCAATTGCCTCCCTTCCAGGCCTCGCAGGCCTCCCAGGGCAATGGGCCGTGGCACACGCATAGCCTCGCCAGTCTCGCCAGTCTCGCCCAAATTCTTGGCGCCACTTCGCGCTCCACAGCAATGATAACGACCCCCGAGCCATTTCGATGAAAGTGAAGCGTGTGATGAGCGGAGGAGGCTCGACTGAGCCGCCTGATAATTAGAAAGGGGCGCCGACCGTTCGAGCAGGACCCCGGCCACAAAAATACTTTCAATTTCTCTTTTTTCTAGTGTGTGAGTGGGTATGTGTGTGCGTGTGCGCGAGCGTGGTGGGAGAGTACGGTTTTGCAGTCAAGTTCCAACTCGGTTTTCGTTATTTTTCCGTTTCGTTCAGTGTTCTTCAGCTTTTTCATGTTGTTGATGATGATGGTGATTTTGCTGTGATAGATACGGTAGTTTTTTTATGTACCATAGCAAAAGAAATAATAATTTTATTGCAATTTTTAGGTCATTTTAGGCAGGGTATGTGTTGGAAATGAAGACACAATATTGATTGAGACACTTTATACTTTATTAGTCGGATTCAGTCTTTCACATCTTGCAAAATCAGTCTTAAACTTATGATACACTACGTTCGGCGTCCACCGTACAGGCGAAGAAAGCCACCCCACTGGTGGGCGCGACAGAGATCGACAGTCAGACAGACGGACGCAGATTAAGGATTAGATTTGTTTCCGTCGGATTAGCGGCTAGCCGTCGCGGCCTCAATTGCTGTAATGGATTCAATCAGGCTCGCCGAGGAAACTCGATCGGAAGCGGGGAGTCGGGCGCCGACGCGGAAGGAAGCACTTCCCAAGTTTTTTTTTTTTTACCTCCACTTTTCCCCCGTTTTGTCCCCACATTTGCCTCGAGATTACAGTGCACGCTGCTGCGGGTCCACTGTGTCGTCACCGCGGTCCCCACGCCCCGCCGCGGCAGCACACGCGAACCGCGCCACGCGCTAGTGAGATAGATAAAGATCGAATTTACGTAAATTGTTCATCCACTACACCAGGAAAAAGCAAGGGCTGTTGCGTGGCCCGGTCACGCTAGGACGGCCGCTTTGCGGCCACTGCCGCCACTTGCAGTGCCGTGGCTGCCGGCGAGCCAGAAGGCGAGCCAGGGCCCCTAGGGCTGACCATTGGCGGCAATTGCTCTGTCCAGGCTGACTCTCTCGCGTCTCTCTCGCGCTCGCGTTGCGCCCGTCGGGGCGCGAGGGAGACGGAATGATGGTTCGGAAGCGCGCTGCCCGGCTGTCCCGGCAAAGTGTTGCCGCGGCGTTCCTTTGGTCCGGTAACGCGTTACCCCAACAATGACAGTGGCGCGGTCCGGGCCTGCTCGCTCTGTCTCGCTCTGTCTCTCTCGCACCCCCTGCGCGACGCCCCTTGCGTGCGAGAGAGACAGAGCGACGGTTCGGAATTGACTTGCAATCCGGCGGCCGGCGGAGAGAGCGATGGTTGTTTCCACATTCGGGGGACTCATCGGCAGATCAGTCATTGGTGCTGCTGAGGCTGCTGGTGCTGCTGTTGTTGGTGTTGTTGCTGCTGGTGTTGTTGCTGCTGCAGGTGCTGCGGGGGCTGCGAGTGCATGGGCATGACCTGCATGGGCTGCATGGGCGGCATGGCGACGGGCACTGGCGGTGCAGGCGCCGCGTTGACGGGCAGGGGCTTGATGGACTCGGGGTTCTTGGCGATCGGGCAGAGGCACGGCACCAGCTCCACGGCGCCGAGGCCCGGGTACGGCGGCGACATCTGGAAGCCAAGGAGGGCACCATTTAGGACAGTTTCTTTCCGATTTTGTGCATAACTCTAGCGGCAGCTTGCGATAAGGTGACCAGAGTGGAAGACGTCACAGAGTATTTTAATTTTTGAAAATTGAGGCATGGACTTGGATGAACGTCAGTGAGGTTCGGAGTCGACTTTCCACGAACTGGTGTGGATGTGAGGTATACCTCGGGCTTGGCTTTCGAGCGCATCGTGTAACCCCGTACCGCCCCGTACGCGTTACGGGCAAACGGACGAACGGACGAACAGAAACGCCGTGGGGACTTTCCCCTATGCTAATGTCCGCACAAACGCACGGAGCGTGCAGTGTAGTGACCGGCGGACGAGCCGGACCCGCCGGATCGGGTCGCGTCCACGAAGACGACCTCGCCGACCATCATCAGGAACCGGAAATGCCAGGGCAGACTGGAGGCTTGCCGCCAAAAGGGCTCCGACTGGAGGCGTCGTCGCCGACTCATTTTCATAACAGAGGCTGTCTGTCTGGGAGTCTGGGATTAGTCTGGGGCACCCCGCAGAATCCTCCAGACTGGCCTCCAGACTCCAGACCCAGCGCCCGCCTGGAGGCTGCGGACTCACAGTGGCCCAGAAGACCGGCGGAGGCGGCCAAAACTCTCGACGCGTTTTGAGCTCCAGAGTCGCTAAATGGGACTCGAACCCAACGTGTGACCCCTCCAAATGGATTGCTATCCGAACGAGGAATACACTGGTTGGGTCACACGTTCGGTTCGAGGCCTGTTTAGCGACTCTGGAGCTCAAAACGCGTCTAGAGTTTTGTCCGCCTCCACCGGCCTTCTGGCCCACTGTGGGACTCCAGTGGAGACTCATCCCAGCTGGCGCGGCGTGGCGCGGCGGGTGCGAGAGAGACGGCTGCAGGAATGGAATAATCGTGATCTCGTGATAGAAACCTCCCCAGCCGCGCCACTGCAAGGGGGAGGGGGGAGAGGCCACCGGCGCCGGTTGAATAAGAATTAATTGTCCGAATTTTCACCCGGGCTGTTGGGGCTATTAGCACCTGCCTTCCGAACAGTGCTTTCGGCGCCGCGTCTCTCTCGCACTCGCGGGGCGTGGAAGCCAGAGAGAGGGAGAGAGAGAGAGAGAGAGAGAGAGAGAGAGAGAGAGAGAGAGAGAGAGAGAGAGAGAGAGAGAGGAGAGAGAGAGGAGAGAGAGGGAGAGCGAAGAAGCACCGGTTCGGAATCAGCGAGTGGCCAGCCAGCGGCGACGCGGCACCCAAACAGACCCAGCTGGCCGCTATTTGCAGGTCCCGCCCCGTCGCCCACGGTGGGGCCCACGGTGGGGCCCGTGCCCAAATTATCCACCTTCAGAAATGTGTGGCTTTTCCCACCTCAGAGAGACAACGACACATCCATGATTTTTTGGTCAAATCGGTACCCGTCCTCACCAAAGTTTTGGCTGCCCCTCCCCCTTCCGAGTTTAATAGCCTGGTCCACCCTCGCCCCAGCTGTGCCCCGCCGCCCCGCCCCGCCTGGCGTCTACTGCTGGCGCTGAGCTCGAGACGGCTCGGCCCGTCGGACTTGGGACCGGACGGTACAGGTGCTCCCCCCCCCCTCCCCACTGCACCGGCCGTGTTGTGGCATTCCAGCAGGCCGGGCAGGCCGGCCGGGGCGTCTCTGATTAGTGCGGTCCAGCATGACTCGTTCTCTTTCTATCTTTCTTCCTAATCGCGCGTGTGTGCGTGCGTGCATGTGCGTCTGTGTGTGTGGGTCTGTGTGCGTGCGTGCATGTGCGTCTGTGTGTGTGGGTCTGTGTGTGCGTGCCTGTGCGTCTGTGTGTGTGGGTCTGTGTGTGCGTGCCTGTGCGGCTGTGTGTGTGCGAGAAGCCGTTTCCAAACGGGGGCCAATGGCTGCATGCCTCAGCTGCGCTGGCTGCGCTGCAGCCGGTACGGTACGCACTGCTGGCCGGTTCCAGAGAGGGGAGGGCGGCTAGGTTTCACTCTCGCTGAATTGAGCTATGACCGCGGTGGTCCGCGCGCGGCTCGCGGCTCGACACTCGGCCCGGCACTCATCGATCAGGGTGGTGTCCTCCCTCCCGTCGAGCAGTGGAGTGGCTCGCCGAGAGCGGCTCTGGTGGCCGCGAGGCGGACTGGCCCCTGCCCGTCCCGCGTCCACGTCCCACGTCCAGCCCCACTAGTTGCAGGTATCACTGTGTGCACAGTGTAGTACAGCAGTTCGCACGCCGCGGAGTGAAAATGGAACATTTCGCACTCTTCCTGGGATCAGGAAGGAAGCAGAGAGGATGCTCGTGTGCTACTCACGCAAACATTCTCTCTCTCTCTCTCTCTCTCTCTCTCTCTCTCTCTCTCTCTCTCTCTCTCTCTCTCTCTCTCTCTCTCCCCTCTCTCTCTCTCTCTCTCTCTCTCTCTCTCTCTCTCTCTCTCTCTCTCTCTCTCTCTCTCTCTCTCTCTCTCTCTCTCTCTCTCTCTCTCTCTCTCTCTCTCTCTCTCCTCGTACCTGGACGCTCTGCGGCGACAGGGGCACGGCGACGGGCACTGCGACGGTCACCCCTCCGCTGGTGTCGTAGCTGTAGGCGGACTGGGCCGCGGCGCCGTAGTCGCGGATGCCGAACCACTGGGGCGCCCTGCAAAAAAATGAATGAATGAATGAATGAATGAATGAATGAATGAATGAATGAATGAATGAATGAATGAATGAATGAATGAATGAATGAATGAATGAATGAATGAACGAACGAACGAGTGAATGAATGAATGAATGAATGAATGAATAAATAAATAAATAAATAAATAAATGAATGAATGAATGAATGAATGAATGAATAAATGAATGAATGAATGAATGAATGAATGAATAAATGAATGAATGAATAAATGAATGAATGAATGAATAAATGAATGAATGAATAAATGAATGAATGAATGAATGAATGAATGAATGAATGAATGAATGAATGAATGAATGAATGAATGAACGAACGAATGAACGAACGAACGAACGAACGAGTGAATGAATGAATGAATGAATGAATGAATGAATGAATGAATGAATGAATGAATAAATAAATAAATAAATGAATGAATGAATAAATGAATGAATGAATAAATAAATAAATAAATAAATAAATGAATGAATGAATAAATGAATGAATGAATAAATGAATGAATGAATGAATGAATAAATAAATAAATGAATGAATGAATGAATGAATGAATGAATGAATGAATGAATGAATGAATGAATGAATGAATGAATGAATGAATGAATGAATGAATGACTCGGTGGCTGTGTTGCCGGGCAGCCATTAGCCTCACGCAGCGCGGCGACCACCTAGCTCGTCCGCTCGCCCTCCGTCCGAGGCTAGCGGATCAGGGCGGCGCGGCAAAGCCCAGAGCACACCCCGGATGGCGTCATCCCGAAGCGTGCTTCCACCGCGACCGCCTTTTCCCACTTTCGGTGGAGTCGTGCGACGGGCCGCCGCCCCTTGGCCGCCGCCCCTTGGCCGCCGCCCCTTGGCCGCCCCGCAGCGCTGCGTGCGACTCGTTCGGACTCGGTGCCCCCGCTGCCACGCGCTGGGCTCTCGGTGGTGGGCGGCGTTCGAAGGCCCGGCGGTGCACAGTGGGCCAGAAGACCGGTGGAGGCGGCCAAAACTCTAGACGCGTTTTGAGCTGCAGCGTCGCTAAATGGGACTCGAATCGAACGTATGATCCCACCGATGGATTGCTCTGAGAACGAGGAATCCATTGGTGGGGTCACACGTTCGATTCGAGGCCTGCTTAGTGACTCTGGAGCTCAAAACGCGTCCAGAGTTTTGTCCGCCTCCACCGGTCTTCTGGCCCACTGTGCGGCGTGTCTCGGACGCCTCCCAACCCAAGCACGCGCACGCGCCTGGCGCATTATGCATTCTGACCGCCCAGCGCGCCGTGCCGCGCCGTGCCGCGCCGTGCCGCACCGGGGCTGCTTCTTATTCATTGCCCCCGGGCCGTGCTGGCCGTGCTCGAAGTACCTAGTAAAGCCCCGGGGACAAACTGGCCGATGCGCGCGCATGGGGCCCTCGACCTGAATGGGGGCTCAGTCCGCAGATGCAGAAGTCATGCACGTTGTAATGCGTTGTTTCGGAATGCGAAAAATAAACACTCAGAAAAGCGTAGCTGAAATATCAGTGTTTGTCCATTTTAGCCAAGTAAAATTTATGGAACTAATTTATGGAACTCGGGAAAGAAGGTTGGCTCCAGAAATAATATTTTTTCGTAGCCAAAAAAATTGATGGAAGATATTTTTCCCTGGGTCACTGGAAACGACTTACTGTGATTTTGCTCGCGAGGTGGTGAACCAGAAGCCGTGGGCGGGCGACAGCATCCCGAGGGAGACCAGGAGCAGGGAAACCTGCGGAAACAGAGAGACACGTTGAGCTCGCGTTTTTCGTTGTTTGTGGCCTTTGTTGGCACTTCCCGCCGTCGTCGCCACACACGCCCACCGGGCCCCTCCCGCTACCGCCGCTACCGCCCGCGACATGCATGTCGTGATGCTGCATTATCCTCGTCGCCTTCCTGGATGCACGACCGCCGTGCTTCCCACAGTTCAAACGTCCAGACAGGCAGATGAGAGAATTTTTTCCACTTTTTTTAGGAGACTACATCACAGTGGGCCAGCAGACCGGTGGAGGCGGCCAAAACTCTAGACGCGTCTTGAGCTCCAGAGTCGCTAAACAGGACTCGAACCGAACGTGTGACCCCACCAGTGCATTGCTCTCCGAACGAGGAATCCATAAGGGTCGCACATTCGGTTCGAGTCCTGTTTAGCGACTCTGGAGCTCAAAACGCGTCTAGAGTTTTGGCCGCTCCCACCGTTCCTCTGGCCCACTGTGCACAGCCGCAAACTCCTTGTCAGGAGGCTCGCGGCTGCCAGGGACCGCACGCAAATTACGTAAGTTGGAAGGGCTGCGAAAAAAAATGGCCAAAACGGTTTGAGCCCCTCCCGACATGAGCAATCCGCCACGTCAGTCACTTCCCTTCACTTCCCGAAAAGTGCCAAAACGTTACGCTCGCCACGCTACGCACCACTTCACTTTCTCACCGAAACCGCACCGGGCAGCGCCAGCATGGCCAGCAGCAGCATTATTGCAGGGCAGTGCTTTCGTGCAGTCGGCCGGGGCGGCCTCCAGGTCCCCCCTCCTCTTTTCCACTCCAACACCACGAAATTAGTTGTTGTTCTTCACACCGCCACGGGATGGACGCGCAGCAGGGCCACCTTCACTTTCATGCGTGCGCCCCAACACCTTCCCTGACCCGGGCCAACGCCGCCACCTCGTGCTTCACTTTGATTTTTAAATTATTTTTTCTATACGTTTTTTCGCGCTTGGTCCAGTTGGCGACCCTACACTTGGGAAGAGCTCAGGGACTTGGAGTGGAGAGGTGACTCGACTCACCCTGATAGCGGCCATGACGGCAATGGTGCTGGCACTGCACTGCGCTGGGTAGGACGGACGATCACAGACTGAATCAGATGAGGGACCAGGATGGGCCATGGGCCTCGACCCTTCCTGCGGGACCTCCCCCGCCCCGCCGCCTCACCCTGCAGGCCCTGCAGGCCCTGGACCCACGCTCTGTCCCTCTCGCACTCGCGGGGCGCCACGGGTGGGTGCGAGAGAGACAGAGCGACGCCCTGGGACGGGGCTGGAGGCAGACGACGCCGGATTCCATGCGCCGGTCTAATTACAACATGATGTCCGTCTGTCTGACTGTCTGTCTGTCTGTTCCAAAGGACCGAACCGGGGCGGTACTACCCGAACCGAACCCTTCCCGACCCGAACCCGTCCAGATGCAGCGTCATGCCGCCCCGCCACGCCTCGGATCTCATCAGGATGGGAAATGATATTCTATTTGCTCGCAGTACCGACACCGACCCGTACTCCTCGTTTACCTGAACGGCTTGCCTTTGACTCTGAATGCGTGTGTGTGTGTGTGTGCGTGCGCGTGTGTGTGTGGGTGTGTGGGTGCACTGTGTTGGAAACGAGAAAACGAGGAGACTTCAACGCATGGCATGCCTAGAGCGCGCCGGCCAGGCGGCCTACGAAAAAGCTTTCAGAAAATTTGGATCTGGAATGTGGCTATCCCTGCCAAAAAAAAATGCCTCTAGCTGTGAAAGAGTTAGCCGTGTGGCATGCACTACCAGGCTCCATGACCTGCGATGACCCCCCCCCCCTCTCCCCCGGTAGTAAAAAATGCGGCCGAACTCATAAAAAGAGATCATCTCTTCTATTCGGGACGCCACGCGAGGGTTCCCTCACCCACACTGCAACGCGGTGTGAGCCTCACACACACGAACAGGAGTTTTGTCCCCCCGCTGAGGTGGGAGCGCGTTCGGCCCCTAACGCCGCGGGCGGGAACCGGTGTACTGGGCCACTGATAAGCCCGAAGGGCTGCCTCGAGGGAGGGAGGGAGAGAGAGAGAGAGAGAGAGAGAGAGAGAGAGAGAGAGAGAGAGAGAGAGAGAGAGAGAGAGAGAGACAGAGGAGAGAGAGAGAGAGAGAGAGAGAGAGAGAGAGAGAGAGAGAGAGAGAGAGAGAGAGAGAGAGAGAAAGACGATAGGGGTGTCACCTGTACGTCCAACCTGGAGTGGAGAGGTCAGTGGCCTCACAGCACAAGGGCCTGGTCCATTCCAAGACCCCCCCTCCCAGACACACACACACACACACACACACACACACACAAACACACACACACACACACAGCATCACGAAGGCACCAGCACAAAAAGGATCACTTCCTTTATCGAACATTGCTCCGCAGGGGCCCCACGCAAGCACGCATTCTCACAGGCGCGTTTTGAACCAAGGAAGCGAGGTGGCCCATCGGTCAGTGCGACACTGCAGCCTAGATTACATCATGAAGACGTGTTGAAGACGGGAGTCTTCCTATTCGGGTTAAGGCTACCGCATGCGTGTGCGTGTAGTTTGTGTGTGTGTGTGTGTGTGTGTGTGGTGTGTGTGTGTGTGTGTGTGTTGTCTGTGTGTCTGTGTCTGTGTGGGTGGGTGGGCGGGAGCTAAAAAGCCAATGCTAGGGAAATCAATTCGAGAAGTAAGTACCTGCCGAGATCAATGATATACCAGTTTAATGTTATTGATAAATGCAGCGGCCGACACCACGGCATCGAGATTTAAGTGCGACCCTCACGCCGTTTAAGGGGGGCGTGCATCATTGTAATAAACAGCCGCTTAACTGGATATTAACAAGGACTTAATTTAATTTAAAAGTTTATTTTAAATTTTTTTTACGTCTACGTTGGTAATGACAACCTGAGATACTAGGTACCATTCTGCTTTCGGCATCAATCAGAGTTTTTTAAAAAATTGATTTGAAACGTTGCTGAGTGTTTCTCTCCTTTCCTCATTCACATATCGGATTGGGAACCAGGGTTTCGTACATCAAAAAACAAAACAATGACTGGCATAATAATTTTATTTCATGTTTCCAGAATACAGCAACGCTACAGCGCCAGTACATTCGAGGAAATTTGTTTCAGAATAACAATGTTCGTGGTCGATCTTGGCTGTCAGTCGTAGTTGAAGCGCCGCTTGCCGTCGAACCTGGAACAGGAACCAACTAATTTAAGAAGTGTGTCCTTGTTTTACGCGAGGGGGGTTAGCCGGAGTTGAACCCGCGACCGGTGCACAGTAGGCCAGACGACCGGCGCAGGCGGACAAAATTCCAGACGCGCTTAGAGCTCCAGAGTCGCTAAATGGGACTCGAACCGACCGTGTGATCCTACCAATGGATTCCTTGTTCGGAGAGCAATCCATTGGTGGGGTCACACGTTCGGTTCGAGTCCCATTTAGCGACTCTGGAGCTCGAAACGCGTCTAGAATTTTGTTCGCCTGCGCCGGTCTTCTGGCCCACTGTGCGGAGCGCGCACCTGAAGCCGTAGGCGGCGGCGTTGGGCGCGTCCACGAGCGCGGCGTGGCGGTGCGAGTAGTAGGAGCCGTGGGCGTGCGGTGAGCGCGCCGAGCCGCTGGGCTGCCCGAAGGCCTGCCGGGGGTAGAACGCCTCGAACTGGCCGGCGGGCGGCAGGATGGTGGTCAGGCCCGCGTCGTCGGGGTCGTAGGCCAGCACCGCGGCGGGCATGGCCAGGGCTAGCAGCAGCAGCGCCAGCAGGGCCTGGAGGTTCATGGCTGCGAGCGAGCGCGTCAGTATCGTCAGACGCATATTTTCTCGTCATTTTTAAAAACCGTCTACTTTACTGAGCGAAGAAAATGGAACATGAAAGAATGTCGACGCGCGCGACTTCCACGTGCGCGATGCTCGGCAGGCGGCGCCTTCGTCGCTCTGTCTCTCTCGCACTCGCGGGGCGGGCCGTAGGGGAGCGAGCGAGGGAGACAGAGGCTCTGTTCGGAATCAGCCCGTTGACCGGCGCACGTCGCGACGTCGCGACCGAGGCGCACGTGCACACACGCGTGTCCGGCATGCGCACTGCCGCCAGCGCCGCCAGGGCAGCCAGGGCCGCCAGGGCCGCCAGGACGACGACGGTAATGTATTCCAACTTTCTAGGAGCACTTTTCGGTCATCCCCGCCGCGGGTCCCTCGTCACCCCGTCGTCCTGCCGGCCGGGGCACGCGTGCAAGTGCGCCCGCAGGCCCGCACATCGCGGTGCTCCGTCGCTCTGTCTCTCTCGCCCCGCTCGCCCCCCACGAGTGCGAGAAAGACAGAGCGACGACGGCGTACATCGGCCGGCGGGCAGTGCCTGGCAGTGCGCCGCGGCTGCAGCGCTGCAACTCACTGGAGGCGGCGTGGCGGAGCGTGGCGGAGCGTGGCGCAGGCCGGCGGCGTCCTGGATGGTCCTCGCGGTCCTCGAGTGCGGCCGGCCAGTCCGATCGGGATCCACGCACACGGCTCACCTTGGCGACGCCGGGGAGGGGGAAGTCCAGGCTGTGGGCGCGTCGGCGGGGCGGGGCGGCGGCGCGGCACGGGGGACTGGACACGAACAGGTGTCCGTCTGTTGAGACGGCTGCGTGTGTGTGTGTGTGTGCGTGTGTGTGTGCGCTTGGTGGCGGGGCGCGCGAAACCGCCGCCACCACCACCGCGCCTTGCCGCCTGCCGTGCGGCGCAGTGCGGCGCCGCGATGCCCGCTTCGCTTTCTCTGGGCCTCTGCCTCCCTCCCTGCGGTACCCTGCGGTCCCTGCGGCCCCTCTGTCTCTCTCGCTCTCGTTGGGCGTCTCGCAGAACAGTGCGAGAGAGAGACAGCGACGACATGCGCTGTTCGGAATCAGACAACCGGCCGCCCCTCCGCGCAGCAGCGCAACTAGGCACTCATCCTGCAGTGGCGTAGCCGCAGAGTCCCCCCGGGGGGTAGGGGTGCGGTGTGACTCGCGCGTTCGGATCGGGGCGCTTCGTTTTCTAGTGGCGTCGTCGAGCCCCGTCGGGCCACATGTGCCGCCAAGCACAATCTTATCTATAGGGGCTGATACGCCACGACACGCCACTCGCGCGCAGCACGCGTCACGCGTCAGGCACGCGTCGGTGCACTGTGCGGCGCGCGCGTGGCACGCGCTCCCGGCCCGCCGTGCGGCCGTCGTGGTCTTCCCTCGAGGACGACGTCGAGGACGACGTCGAGGACGATGTCAAAGACGACGACGTCGAGGCCGCGGCGCACTGGGCCGCGTAGGGCCACGTCAATCTCCACCAGGTCGTGCCACAGCGATTTGGGCGCCAGATTGCCGGTGGAGGGTGTAGTCACCGCAATCGGCTTATCGGAAATCCCATCCCGACAGTCGATAAAAATAACGCGACGACGCGGCCAGGGCGGCGCAACAGTAGGTCCCTGGTAGTTGCTGGCAGTTGCTGGCAGTTCCTGGCCGGCTTGCTTGGCCTCGTCCACGGTGCGCCGCTGCGCCGCCATGGGGCGATGAGGCAGCGTGCCCTGCCGGGCGGCGCCGACCATGCCGACCACGTACGCGGTCGCGAGGCCGCGGAACGCCGACGCGCACCCCAAGAAGAAGGACGCGCGCTGCCAGGAGCCGGAGCAGGTCGTGAGCACGTACCGCGGCATCGCCGAGGACCAGCACGACGAGCGGGACGCGCGGGAGCAGCGGGACCAGCGGGACGCGCGGAGCGAGCAGGACGACGATGTCGTCGAGTACATGGAGGTCGACGAGGCGGCGCTGGAGCGGCGCAGGCGCGACATGGTCACGCCGGAGGTGTCCTCGGTGTGCAGCGAGGAGCCGCCCACGCCGCCCGCGCCGCGCGCCTCGGTGTCCTCCACCAGCGGCTTCTCTTCGAGCTGCCCCCACAGCTGCCCGCCGAGCGTGCAGTCCAGAGCACCGCTGGAGCTGCCACCGGAGGCCGACGAGGACGTCGACGAGGAGGTTGACGAGGACGTTGACGAGGCCGCCGCCATGCCCACCCCAGACTCCTCCAGGCTGGGGCAACCTCTGCCGCCGCCACACGAGCGGACAAGGTCGGTGGGAAGGGTGTCGAGTTTGTGGGCAATGGGTTGCCTACCTTTCCGGCGTGTGCTCAAATAATTCCAGGTTTTCGCTCGATAAAGACTGTTTAGAGCCGACTTGGGCCTCGAAATAGCGCCAGGAGTCATCATGGAGTGCTCCAACACAATGTACTGCAATTTGGTCCATTTTAAATTTTTGGCCCCAACTATGAAAAAACCACGAAGCCTTAGCGTTTTTCCGAAGAAATCGGTCGACCACCTCGGAATTGTCTGAAATTGATATGGAACTCTCTCATGGTTCCCATAAACAGATGCCCGGTGCCTAATGGTCTTTGACGCATTCCATTTGGTGTGAAAATGGCTTTTCCCGCGACGCTAGTTGAGCTCTGGTGCGGTGAAACGGCTGTGTACGATGGGTTGCCTGCCTCTCCGGCCCATGCCCAAACAATTCCGGATTTTACGTTCCCTCTCAAGTTAAAAAGACTGAAAAGTTACTCTCTTGCATTGCATGTGAATCCCGCAGCCCGGCGGCCTTCAACGACTCCATCATTCCCGAGGAGGACGAGGACGAGGACGCCTTCAGCACGGCGCTGTACTCGGACGTGATAGAGGACGAGGACCTGTACATCACGGTGCCCAGCGAGTGGGACGGCGAGAACTCGTTCGGCTCGTCCAGGTTTGCAAAATTTTCATTGCCGGAGGCTGGAAAGGGAAACCGAAAGAAAAATGTCGATGAATTGAATTGACGCAGATCCGGCGCGGACGAAACCCCCGCCCCTTTCCGGCCGCCCCGCCAGCCCGCCCAGGTGATCGTCATACGAGAGAACAACATCCACAGCCAGAGCAACGGCAACGCGCCTCGGCCTCCCCAGGACGCTCCACCAGATAGACCAGGCAAGTGCAACGTGCCCCTCGCCCTGTCTCTCTCGCACTCGTTGAGACAGATGAAAGTAAGTAGTAGTGTAGCCCCCTCGTCAATGCTGTTTTTGTTTGGGCGTGCAGTGCCGCGGCTGTCGGTGCAGTGCGTGCTGTGCTGCGAGCCACGAGGCGACAAGACACGACTGCTGTCCCAGACGGCGGGCTGCAGGTGGCTGGCCACAGCCTTGGTGCTCTTCTTCCTCCTCGTCAGCCTCCTCCTGCTCAACCTGGCCAACCGTTACAACGACACGGCGGTAAGGTGATCCCACAATGGGTCGGTTCGGTCACAGACGGTCGGTCGGACGGACGATCGGGGGTGGGAGCCGACGGCGGGAACTCTTTTGCGTCCTAGAGGTGAATACAGAGCAGCGCCACCAAGGTACGCCACCCATTTGCCACGCTTGGGGTGGAGGCTGACGCCAGAAACATTTTTGCACCCTTTGAGGGAAAGACAGAGTGTGTGCTGCGCGTCTGTTAACAGCCAGGATTGTTTGGAAGAGCTGGCCTTTAATTCACTGTAGAGCCGCGCCGTCAAGGTAGGCCACCCATTTGACACGCTGCTGCGAAAGCAGCACTGCGGCGGAAAACATAAGCCATACTCTTAGCCGGGATTTGAACCCAAGTGATGTTCCATGTGACCGTCCGTCCGACCGACCGTGTGCGACGGACTGACCCGTTGTGTACAGTGCAGCAGTTTCAAGATTCTCTTAAGAGAAACGTTCTCAACTAGTTTTAAAAAAAAGGAAATTGCTTTCACCAGGCGTCATCAAGCAAAACTAAATTAGTCCCTCAGCAGAGTTCTGACGAAGTTCAGCCGCCGTCTTGAAGAGATCCCAACAAAAATTGTGTAAGTTTATATCTGCATTGTGCCAATAAAAGTGGATAGAAAATTCAGAAAGTATGATGACATTTCCGCTCGCTTCTTGCTCATTTTCCCTAAACAATGACAGCAGCAAGATGACAAGAACAGGTGCAAGGTACAAGTGCTTACTTTGTCAACTTTCAGCATTGGTTCAAACTACAAGAAACTGAAAACAGTCACATAATAAAATAACCTTACTGTATTGTCATGATCAAAATCCAACACAAAAAGTTTGACTATAAACTCTGAGCATTAATACAATTGCTACCTTAACATCCTCCAATGATGAAAGAGCAATGCGGAATAAATCTACAAGCTAGCAAAATGTTTCAGTAACAATAGTTTTGTTTTATTTACAGCAGTCTCTGTCCATAATTATAATGTGGTGTTTCTTAAATATCTAACAAAAATGAAAATAAAAGTTTACATGAAAAAACTTGTGAGCCCTTATAAGATAAACACACATAATAAAATTACAGCAATACATTTGTGTGGAGGAACAAAACATTCCAAGCAATCCTAAACTTTGTTAAATAAAAATTTAGACTAACCGAAGTTATGAAGACATACAGAAGCTCATTCATTTCACCACAGCCTTCCAACACATACAGCCCTAGGCTCTCCTCATCAACATGTTTATTGTTTATTTATTTCATGTTGGAACAATCCCACCGAATATTACCACCTCAATCCAGTGAGTCATAGCCACTAGGTCTACAAGTTAAAGAAGCTCATTTTCACAAGTCATCTATGGAACAGAACAATCCTGTGCATACAAACACCAATATTTTATTTCTAAATCTAATATTTTGCTCTTTTTTCCATTTGTAGTTGTAAGAAGAAGGGAAATTATCACATGAAAATAATCTATCAGGTTCACCGGTGCCAAAATTCCACCGAAAAGAAAAAAAAGACTTCAAAATGTACAGCATTCCTTGCACAAACTGTTAGAGTTTACATAACCAGAGGTTAACAGGCTGGATGCCAATTTTCTGCAGCAACAGAAATGCATAGTTTCAGCTTTCCATTGCAGCAAAAGGGTTGTATCATTTAAGCACTCTTTCAAAATAATAAGAACCCACATATCCCCCCCGAAGCGATTTCTGGACGTTTTGTTCAAACTGTCGACGGTTACTTTGCAGAAGTTCAGCAGCTTCCTTGTTCAAAGGATCCTCTGGATTTGGTTCCTGAAAAAAGTAAAATGAAGAGAATGGTTGTAGGAATGAAACTTCAAAATGCTTGATAGAGTTCAGTCAAATCTTACCAGGAACAAGTACTGAAGTCCATAAACTATTGAATTCACAGTGAGAACAGGTTTCCAATCCTCACGGAGAATATTGAGACACACATTGCCTTCCATATCAATGTTCGGATGATATACAGTGGTCTCACATTTCACCTTAGGGGGTTCGTGAGGGTAGTTTGGGCCAACTTTAAAGGTAAAAACAAATTTTCCATCCCGATAAAAGCCCTAGAAGAAAAAATTATGTTTGAGGTCAATCAAAAACATCCAAAATGTTTGTTAAAACAGATTGAAGCAAACTAAATACAATTTAGTCTTACTTCGTCTGGAGATATTATGAGTTTGAAATTCAATAAATCATCTGGGTCCGGGAATTCTGTACTACATGTCTTAGGCAAGTTCAACTCGTTGATATCTGAAAAAAAAAATCAAAACATTAAACGTGCAATAGAACATTAGTCCTGACAAAACGAACATATTGATTTATTTGAGAGGAGCTTCCACTTTCAAGATAAACAAACAACAGCATACAGCTTAAGGATATAAAAATCTGGGTGAGGATCTGATAAGGTAAAATGTTAAATGATCTGAACAATGAAACGTACAGTCTCGATAGAACCCACTAAATACTGGACAAAATTAGGACACTTTAAATTCTTTCCTAGTCATTTCAATCATGAACAATGGGATATGGGTTAGGTCCGTCACAACACTGGGGTTAGTCCGTGGGAACATTTAACCACCAAACAGTTTCATGGGTCCAACTTTAAGAAAGTTGAAATTGCTGTTTCGGATTAATGAAAATGAACGTTGAGTGGGATGTGTAAATACCTTTGGTAATCCTCAGTTGAGCTGCAGAAGCTTTCTTCTGGTTCCCTGCTTTCGGAGTTGCTTCCCCATCTTTCTTCTGTTGTTTCAGTGAAAAAAGTTTTATCATTGTGCCCAAAGTAGTAGAAGCTGAATTTTAAATCTATGCTTTTGCCCAAGACCATGAACTGAGGCTTGCAAGTTTTGGCACGCAAAACTCGCAAAACTTCGAAGCAAGCTTTTGACACTGAAAAATTTGCTTTCGTCTCAGTCACGGCCAGTGAGATACATTCTGCCCAAAGTGAATCATGCGATCATGCGTATGAGAAACGAAGCGGGCAAACTCAAGCAGAAACCAGAAACAACCAGAAACGCACGGGGAAATCATCAGAATATCTCAAGGAAATTAAGGAAAACACTGATTATCCTAAATTTTCTCAAGTAGACTGGCTCAGTCATCCAAAAATGTTCCATCTACTTTGTGCCCATGAAAACAGAGCAATTAGGACAACAAAAAGTGGAAATGATCCAAACTTCGGTTCCATGGCCTATCATAGTGTTATTATGTTGCCAAGAATCCTACATTACTTGCTGACGCCTTTGTGTATGTGGTCGACATTTCATTCACTTGGCTCACTTGGAACATGAGAAATTTTGACTCTCCTCTAACCATTCACCAGTGACAATGAATATTGCATGAGTTTAGTTGCCAGCACAACCACTGGAGGTCTGTTGACATGTGTTGAACTTCAAACAACTTTTTGACAGAGAGGATGATGGGATCAAATAGGATGTCAGGGATGTCAGTCAAGTAAAAGCAGTTTGTTCATCCAACTGAATTTTATTACACCCATTGAGCATAAAAGGCCACTACAAAATACAATTGGAGTTTTCCAAACACATGGTTTCATAAAATGTATGATGGATGATCCAAAACATTCAAAAATGTCAAAATGCATACAAAATACGTCAATACAATAGTAAACTAAATGAGAAGTTGTGATGACACGCCTTTAGCATGAAATACGAGCAACAGCAGAAGTGGTCTACTTAACTCTTCATACATCTAATTGACAGCGAAAGCAAGCATGACTTGATCAGAAGTATTAGAGATGACAAATGTCACTTTAAAAGGTTGTTTGTTCAAAAGTGCAATGGGCCATAAGTTCTTAATTTAGGAATGTATGAACAAGCACAACATTCAAAGAAAAAAAAAGAATACCAAATGATAATTGAATTAATTTTGGACTCCTTTCCAGAATAAAAATAAATAAAGGTAAAAAAAAGTAAAATTATATGTTTATAACAAAAGTGAGGTAGCGAGTCCTTCCTATGAGGCTAAACCTACAAGTCAGTGCATTTGTAACGCTGTCCTAAATTTATTAACAATAAATAGTCTTACAATAACTACTAGATCAGGAATTTTTTAAAAAAGAGAGTAAGTTTTCACACTCCAAACTCAAAACAGCCTAGGCCCAAGGCAAAGTCGGCAAAACCCCACCAACTGGCTAGGGCATTATGCCACCTTGGATCAATCCTACATATTACACATTGAATATCATTTTATGACACTACACTGAAACAAGTACCCTTTTTTGGATTTGAGCCTCATCTTTGTTTACCTCACAAATCTAGAATTGACAATAAGTTACAAGAAAGGAAAAGCTTGTAATTGTTTAACAATAAAATAAAAGAGGATATATTGACGTACAGAACAGGCAAATATTCCACTATCAGGTAGAATTCAAGTGATCAGAATAGGACAAAACAAAAGTAAAAAAAACAATACACTAAAAGGAATCAAAAAGGAAGAAGGCTCAATACAAATTCATTGGAAAAAAAAGTTATGTGCTTAAGTTTGTTTTATGATCAATTGTAAATTCAATGACCCCCTATTGATAGCTATCTAAAAAACTTAAAATCACAGGCTAGCTGTAACAATCCTTCAGTTCTCATACAATTAAAAAAAAATCTAGAAAAAAAAAAGAAGAAAAAAAAGGTTGATTATCGTCAGCACATTTGAAGTACGACTTCCACACCCGTCCAGAGTCAACATTGAATGAAGCTTGTTAAGATGACCCCTCAGAATAACTAAGGGAAGTGGGGTATTCAGCTTGAAAAGAAAAGAGGCTTTACTGTGAAAAAACTGCTACAAGTACAGGATGTGCAAACTATGGCTTCAACCTAGACCAAATTACTTAAAAACTTATGAGCCACTTCACAAGATGGAGTTGCCACTCGTTAATAAAATTAAAATACTGAATTTGATTACAGCAGCTGCTTTCATAAGGAGATGTATAAAATGAAGTGAGAATTTAAAGAGAACTACCAAGCTAAAAGTAATTTCCATAATCATAAGAAAAAAGTCACTTTAGGACGATGTGATATCACATGATGGGATGGTAAAATTAGCAGGCTGCAATTACATCATCTACATCTCCCAAGGTGGGCTGGGACGTTGCCAAGACGATTCACCGCAGCTTGCGAGCTTTCCCCCGGGTTTGGCCTCCAGCGCCTGCCTTCCTTTTTCCAGTTTGCTGTGGGTCATCCTCATCCACTTCCTCCTTGATGCCTTGCTCAGCCTTGATGCCGTTGTTGACAACATCATCTCCCTGCAGACATTAACACTGTCACTAAAATATTCAATCATAAGCTGTTAAAATACTTTCAAACTAAATGGCATATCAGATGAGAGAAAAACTAACCTGTCCATCATCCATTTCAGCATCTCCATTGGCACCGTCGTCGCCTTCTTCAAACTCAACATCTCCTTCTTCGCCCTCCTCTTCCTTCACTCCAGCCTCCTGGTTCTTCTGAGCATCCTTGAAGTTTGCAATATGCTGATCCCAATCTTCTAGACTAGCAAATACCTTGATAGGTTTTCCTTTAATTTCAATATTGTCCAGTTCAAGTGCTTTTCTGGCTCCCTCAGGATCCTGACACAAGACACAACAAAAAACAAAATGTAAGCCAATAGAATAAAAATAAAGAATAATGAATGGAAGCAGAGTGTAGACTTACCTCAAATTCGATACAAGCCCTACGAGCAGCATAAGATTGATTGTAGCGCACAAAGTGCACATTGTCAATGGTGCCACATGTCTGGAAGATCTTCCAGAGATCTGTAGGTGCTGTTCCATATGGAACTCCACCAATAAAGACTGCATTAATGAATTTACGTCCATCCCAGTGACGCACACGAATTTTATCTTTACCAAGGAAAGTATCATTCTTCATAAGAGCTTTCCTTGCACCTTCCTCATCCTAAAACAGGAAAAAGAAAGCCATTAAAAAGAATCCTTGAAAATGGGCACGTTGAAAAAGGCCACAAATAGGAGGCATTCAACTCACTTCAAATACTATTAATGCTCGTCGAATAGAGGAATCCCTAGGAAATTCAACCCATACGGAGCAAATGTTGCCGCATTCCTTAAAATAGGCAATGACTTCATCGCGGGAGGATCCTGTAATGCAAAAAGATCGTTGTGGTGGAAATGAATACAAAAGTTGAGATTCTTGGGTACTTCAGACCTTACAGACCTACTGACGACTTACTGTGCAGAAGGCCAAACACAGCCACACCCAAGGACTGCACTTGACACGCTCTCCAACTGCGCCAACGGACAACTGAGATTGGAGCCTCGTTGAGCTGCGATCCATTCTTTGCCAGAGCCTTGGCAACTGCATCTTCAGTCTATCAGAAATCACAACAAAACAATGAGAGTTAAATACAAGGTGCAGAGTATGATGCAGCACAGAAAGAAAGTTACAGTGGGAAGTTACCTCAAAGAGAATGTGTGCTTTGCGGTTGTCATGTTTCACTCGTACACCTTTAATGACACCGCAACCTTCAAAGTGTACCCACACATCTTCCTCAATCACATCTATAGAAAATAATAAAAAATCATTAGTCAGGTACGAGTGGGCTACATGAGAGTAAACACTAAGACATAGAATACAGCAGCTTACCAGCACCACATTCCACCTTAACAGACGTGTTTTCAAATTTAACATCATTCTTTTCAGGTACATCAACAATGATGTGGCGGCCCTCCAGCAAAGAGCCATGAACACCAAGAGCCTTCTCCACTGATTCTTCTTGAGTGAATGTAAACACTCCTTCATCACGGGCACCATTTTTCACAAACTCCATCTGACACAGAAAAGAGCAACAGAGTTGAGGTAAAATTGCTTGTACTAGCAAAGACTCCACTTAGAAGCATTGACCAACCTTTTCAATTGGTCCACAGTCCTTGAACAACGCTGTCAACTTAGTTTGCCAGTCAGCAGCATGAGAGGGAAGATTCCTCACCAACACAGTGCTATAACAAAAAGGAAAGACAATAAAAATCCCCATCTCACAGATAAACACAATTAAAATTTTTACGTTAAATTAAAGAATGCGTCATTACCAATCCTTATTCACAGCATTTGCCTGTGAATTGGGATGTTGGTTTGAACGGTTGTTGGGACCACCACGGGGATTTCCTCGGCCTCTGAAGTTACTGCGACCTCTCTGGCCTCTGCCTCGGGGTCCTCCTCGGCCCCTGCCACCACCCTGATAGTGGTTTCGTCCTCGGAATCCACCCCGACGAGGGGTAAAGCCATTTTTCTCTGCCATTTCAAGAAGTTACTCTAAAATAAAAAAAGACAAAAGAAAATAAAAACAAGTGAAGATGAGGATAACATTCAGCTCATGAATAATTTATGTGTGAAACACATCTCGTGAAGATCAATTGGAAATAAGACTACTACATAAGTATAAGAGAAATCAAAATGTTAAAAATTAATATAAGCCCAAAAATGGTAAAAATCGGAAAAAATTAGGTGACAGTTGTTTCAGAGTGATCAAATGCTGATGAAAGAGAGAGACAGAGCACATAGGTTAGGGCGAAAAAAAGGAGTATGAATAAAATCGATAATACAATGCAGAGGGCATCTTCGTGAGGAGATATTCGTGAAAATGCGTTCAGAGTCATAAAGAGACATTAAGACGAGGCAAACAGCAACTTCAAAACGTGAAAATGGGAGATCTGCCGGTAGCTGTCTTGGAGTCGGCCGCTATCCGGGGGCCATGACAAATAGGCCCCGGACGCGAGACGAGACACCCAACGCCCGGCTCATTTCAACCAAACGAAGTGGTATTCGGATCAATCATGATGAGAGGAGCGCGGAAGATGATAATACCGCCCAAAACATAATTTCGCGAACGATGGAAAGTTTAATAGAGAAATTTATAGACAAATCGCCCTCCCGAAGCGTCAGCCCATGACGTATAGCCTAAACAAAGCTTGGAGGCGTCAATGAAAAGAAGTAAATTTTGGCAGAAAGTTGGACTTAAAACTGCGGTCTAAAAGGCAAGGGATCAAAATGAGTGTTTGAAATGGCTAAATTCAATATATTTCACAGTTTAAGGGAGTTAGTTGAGTTTTCATCTGCCTCGCAAAGAGCTTGACGCCGCCGAGGACCAAGTGACAAACCTGGACCCAAATTATCGATTACAGGATCGTCGTATCAGACAGAAATGGGGGCGGGACTCGCGAAATGGAGAAGGAGCGAGAAAAGAGAGACCACTTTTCAGCTTTAAAGTCAAATAACAAACAAAGCAGAACGAAAATTACCGAAAAAAGAATGGACTCCTGAAGAAAGTCGGCCGGTTCCGGAGAAGGTTCGTGCACGGCTGGTTCCGGTTGTTTACCGCACCGCCTTCCACTAATGCCCTTAGTGCGTTCGAACGAGAACGAGCTTGGGATCTACAGGACCGTGAGCCGCGTGGCGCTTATTTTTGATTCATCAGCAGGCAGGGGGTATGTCCTCGTCCTTCCCTGATAAGAGCTGTGCGTAGAAGTAGGAGCAGTGAACGAGTATAGGACACGGATTTTATCAATATTTTATTTATTGTAACGCAGTCTGGTTTCACACTACATCAACTCGGAGGGTAGTAAGTAAAAATAGATTTTTTTTCTCTTCTCATAAAATTATCAATGACCTCCATCTTCAAAATTTTTCCCTCTTAACAGGTATTGAATTTCGACACCACATTTTCATAAAAAACAGATCAAGACTTTCACATACATTACTTTACAGAAAATGATACAATTCTAATATGGTACAGCAAATTAATTTACAAAAACTCAATATTTTTTCCAGAAAAAATTAACATTGTAGAAAAAGAAAATTTTAGAAGACAATCCAACATTTAATAAGTTAGCTATAAATAATAAAATTATATGCAATACCAAAAGGGCAATGCCAACAAGAAAACAAGAGGTCTCACATAAATAGAATAGATTTGAATCTGGTACGTTCAAAATATATCTAATATACATACATCACTTTTGTATCAAAACACTATGTACATAAGCTTTTGTCAGTTACCAATCTAAAAAGTTGATCAAACTGGTAAAGGTTTTCAAAAAATTCCCATGAGTATCACCTTATGGAAGTAATAAAGCAGATACTCACAGGAATTGAATCATTTTTCACCCTTCATATGCTACTATTTGGAGCATCTAATCTTGATGATTCACATCAGCTTTACTTTCCAGTCTATCGCCAAACTGTCACATGAATGCGATCCAGTCTGATAATCTCAAGTAAAGCCAAGGGATTCAATTCAAATCACAAAAACTTTTGCAATCTGCTGGGGCTGAGCTGATGTCATTTTAGAATAGAAATAATTTTTTTGATAGAAAAGTCTTCCTGTGTCAATCACTGGATGCAAGAACAGACAAGTTCTGGAAAACTATATCGACATACCACTCAGTCTTCCAACAAATCACATAACAAAGATAGCGAAACCAAAAAATTAGCAACGCTTAATACTGCACAAATTCATGAGAAACAAATAACAAGAATCACGTGCATAAAATACAACTATTTACACATTAGTTCCAGTGACGTACATTGGTCGGAATGATGTCGATCAAACATCAGAAATTTTGACATCACAACCGAGAACAATTGATGTGATTCAACACCATTTCGACCAACAAAAATTCATTGCACTGGTCATAAACAGAGAAGGACACCCTCTTTGTTTTCCTACAGGCGAGTATAAGTCTTCATACCCGCCCTGCTTGATCTGCGCATCTAATTTCTATAAAAATTACTGATGCGCAGAGTGTATGGCATTCCATCAACATGATACAAGACTTCAACGTAAACCTAGGTAAATCGGTACTTCATTATCAACTAAGTATTTTTTTTTTACAACAGTTGCATAAAGCCCGACCAGACTAAAATAAAACATTTGCAATTAATACAGGACGTTTCAAGACACCTGCTAACTTTGTCATGTCAGAATACAGTATGGCAGTTCACATGAGAAGGTTTCAAGCTCAGCCTGGGAAGAGCGTCCTTGTCCTCATGGATTCTTCAGGTATAACAGTACACAGTGCACACCAAATCTAAGGACCGGCCAAGAAAGATTGTTTTTTCAAACTGTTTGTACTCGTTTCCTTTAGCTTCCGGGCAGTAGCTTGCATCCGACTGCCGTCTGCCCTCTCCTCGAGGGCCACCGAGGGCCACGCTCCCACCAGGACACGCGCCTGCCATGCGGCAGCATGCGGGCACGGCTATCGTCGTCTGACTCGTCGCGTTTTCGTCACGTCCTCGTCACGACAACGCAGTTTAACGTCCGGACAAGTGTAAAGAGGCGTCTTCGTCGATAATGACGTGCCAGTTCAAGACCTCCAGTATGCTAGTCACGGGAAACGTTCGTCACATCTGTCACGTTCGTCACACCTGTCACGTTCGTCACGCATGTCACGTACGTCACACCTGTCACGTTCGTCACGCGTGTCACGTACGACACACCTGTCACGTTCGTCACACCTGTCACGTTCGCCACACCTGTCACGTTCGTCACACCTGTCACGTTCGTCACAACTGTCACGTTCGCCACACCTGTCACGTTCGCCACACCTGTCACGTTCGTCACACCTGTCACGTACGTCACACCTGTCACGTACGTCACGCATGTCACGTACGTCACACATGTCACGTTCGTCACACCCGTCACGATTGTCACGCATGTCTCGTTCGTCACGCATGTCTCGTTCGTCACACCCGTCACGTTCGCCTACACGACTAACTGCGTTGCGACGCCTAGTATCTCTTGTGCTGCGGCCGTGCGTGCTGGTGGCGCCAGTCGAGGTGGTCCCGCGTGGAGCCGCCGCCGTTGCTACTGAGGTGCTGGCCGTGGTGATGGTGGTGGTGATGGTGGTGGCGCTTCTTCTCGGCGGCCGCGATGGCGGAGGGCTTGACGCCGCCCTGCGGGTACACGGCGGCCACGTCCGTGACGACGAGCTCGGAGCCGTCCCTCATGCCCTGGCCCAAGCCCTGGCCCATGGCCTGGCGGTAGGCGTGGTGCGGCTCGTCCATGGTCTCCTTGCGGCGCAGCGCCGCGTGCACGGCCTGGTGGTGTGCCTGCGCCTTGGCGCCCGCGGACTGGTGCAGGTTCTCCCACGCCTGGCGGTAGTAGCGGTTCAGGCCGCCGCGGCTCTCCGAGCTGCTCGAGTCGTACGAGGCCACGGTGTTGCAGTCGGGCGAGGCTCGGTGGCGGTAGTGTTTGGCACTTCGATTTCTGCGGGAAACGAAACAGGAAAAGACAGAGGGGTTTAGATTTCGTTGTGGTGGTGCGGGCGGGGTGCGCGGACGGGGGGAAATTGTAAGTTACTCGCCACATGGCAAACATAAGTGAATCTCGCGCGATCTCGCGTGTCGGAAATTGTTTTACCAATGGAATTTTGTCGAATCGAAATTTTAAAATCGATAAACTATAAAATCAAAAGTGCAAAACATGCCCTGTAGACCAAACCAGGGGCGGAATTTCTTACATTGAATCCCCATGCACGCAGTTTGTACACATATTCTTTTATTTTACAACGTCTCGATCGTATATTTGCACAACATTCTGCGTGGCGTCGAGGACTCTGTCCCCCAGACATGCAAACCGTATTCACATCGCCATCCTAGCGCCTGCAGCGTAGGCAAGCCCGCCCTGGCGCCATGCGCGGTGGGGAGACGGGTTGCCTACCCGCACGGCGCCTTTAGCGTAGGCAAGCCCGCCCTACCGCCATGCGTGGTGGAAGGACGGATTGCCTACCCGCACGGCGCTTCACGCTCGCGAGCAGTCTCCTCGACTTAACGCAAATCGGATAACACTCAACACAGTTAAAGTACACCATCAACAAAACAAAACTACATTTCGTGCAGCGAACAGTAACAAAACATCCAGCATGCTGCAATGACAAACGTAACCGATATCAAGTGAGTAATACAGGGAACCTTGGTAGAGACGCATGCCAACCACAAGACTGCAAAAAAATATCAACAACACCAAAAAAACTACAAAATAATGTGTACAAAACAACAAACACTAAGCAGGCATAAAGTGCACTCGATTTACCGGTGAGTCCTCGTGAGGCGGATGCAAGATGCAACCCCCCGGCCGCCCCAGCCTTTTCGGTATGACAAACTCAGCAGCCGCATCCAGTCGAGGCCAGGGCCTTTACCGGGTGTCGGAGCACGAGCGGGGGCGGCAGGGAGCAGGGGCGGTGCAATGGGTAAGCACTCTTTTCTCGCGACCTGTGCAACGACAAGTTTCTCATATTCATCACAACGAGCGAGACATGGCGGAGGATGTCCTGAATAGGATGGAGGGGAAGGGGGGATTCCAGGGTCGACACTGTCAGTGAAGATTGATCGAACTGACTCAAATTTAGTTCATTTCCTCAGCAGTAAGGTTCCACCAGGTGACACCGACTAAGAGAGTACCCTGCAGCCGCAATTGTTTTGGGTCGTTTTGAGTATATTTTTACAGTGAAAAAGTGGGCGGGCAATTCGGAAAAGCTTTACGGAGGGGAGAAACTAATTACTTGGTATTTACTGGTATTTACAGAATCGGATCACTTTGTGGCAAGGCAGGCAACGTTCATTCACGGGGCTATACCATTTACAGACTCGGCGTGAATATTCATGGGCAATGAATTCATTGAGCGCATGCCTGCATGCCTGCCTGCATGCCTGTAGGCACCGCACCGTGGCATGCTTACTGTGGCGGTTGGCTTACTTGCCCATGCGAGGTGCGGCCGGCGCGGCGGCTGGCAGGGGCGGGGCCAGGGGCGGGGCCGGGGAGAGGAGGGGGTGGGGGAGGAATCGAATTCACCTCTCGGTCGGCCGAGTAGTCTACGCTTATTAAACTCAAAACGACTAATAACATAAGGGGGTAACGTTTCTTTGGGCACACTACTACAATAGATAACGGGCGTGGTAACTCGATAATAACAATCTTACGATAGAAAGAAATGATTTAGGGAAAAAATGAATGAGGCAGAGTGCGCTGCGGGGGGCCTACAATTAAAAAGTGGGCCCCGGAAAACGAGTTTCCCAGAAAAAGGCCGCGCCTTCCAGAACTTCCGGGACCGAGAGACTCCCGCCGGGACTCCGGCCCGCGAGGACTCTAAACTTCAGACGTGACTCCAGCCCGGCGGCGCTCGCGCTCCAGTTGGCTGCTCAGTCGCGAGGCTCAACGTGAAATAAATCGGCGCCCCAAAGAAGTTTCCGCGCGCCAAAGGCCGAAAGGACGCACGAATTTCACAGTCCATTTCCCCCGCGCGCGACTGCACCGCCTGCGCGGACTGCACCGCACAGTGGGCCAGAAGACCGGTAGAGGCGGCCAAAACTCCAGACGCGTTTTGAGCTCCAGAGTCGCTAAGTGGGACTCGAACCGAACGTGTGACCCCACTAATGGATTCCTCGTTCGGAGAGCAGTCCATTGGTGGGGTCATACGTTCAGTTCAAGTCCCAATTAGCGACTCTGGAGCTCAAAACGCGTCTGGAGTTTTGGCCGCCTCCACCGGTCTTCTGGCCCACTGTGCACCGCCTGCTCGGACTGTACACGGTCCGTCACGGTCCCGGCCTGCCGGCCACTTATTGCGGGGAGTGTACCTGTCGCGAAGCGCCAGGCGCGCGGAATTCGAATTCGGCCAGTTCGGCGGCAGTCCTGGAAGGCGCAGTGCGGCGCAGTGCGGCGGGGCGCGGCAGTTTTGCCTAGGATGACGTTGACGTCGTTGACACGGTCATGAGGGGGAACGGGACGGCGATCGGGAGGGGGAGGGGGGAGGGGGAAGGGTACAAAGGGTCGTGTTGATGCGACGTTCCACAAGGCGGCGGTGAGGGTCGGCGTGCTGTGAGGGCGGTGCTGTGCTCTGGGTGGGCGGTGGCGCGGTGGCGCACTCTCTCTCTCTCTCACTCACATGGTATACTCTGTTTGCCTACTCCGTGCTCCGGCCCCTCAGAGCGGGTTTGAGAAATAGCCGGCCCGACTGTGGTACTTGCTGGTGAACTCCCTGCGCCCGACCTGCTGGTCGGGGAAGGGCAGCGCCAGCAGCGTGTACCACCGCGAGGGCATGCTGCGCGCCGGGGGCAGCTTGCGCTTCCTCCCACTGGAGCATGGCGTCGCGGTGGACAGAAGGACAGAGACAGGCCGAGGGGAAACAAAACACAAGTGGTGTTAGTTAGTGAACGGACAGCCGTCGCAGTTCAGAGCTAGGCGCGCGGGTTTGGTTTCTCTCATTTTTTGAAAAAGGACTGTTAGGAAATAAATGCCAAGGCTCGTTGAAAATCGGTTCAGATCGATCGGTACTGAATCGAAGCCTCAAGAACAACAAACACTTTGAAAACTGAATGATTCGCGCGCTCGGAAAAGTGACGGCCGCGAGGACTGAAACGAATCGGCGTATTAGTCTGAGTGATTTTACCGAAGCACTGCAGCAGAGGAAGTAACGGAAAGAGCGGACAGAAAAGAGACAGAGAAAGAAAAAAAAATGAAAAAAATTAAAGAGGCAGACAATTGTATTGCAGCCACTCAAGTCTAAGCCGAGTAGAAGTAAGGGGGGCCGTAGTCTGTCTTTTCGACTCAAGAATGGAAGCCCTTTCGGCTGGGCCCACTGCAGCGGAGTTGGCTGCGAGCGGCGAAAGAGCGTCGAACGAGTGACGGGGTGAACTAAAACAGCAGTGAAAGGTGGTGATGGAGTGGAAAGACTGCACACTACGGCTACAAAAATACACACTGCCTTACTTCTGAGCAGGTGAAAGGAAAATGGACAGATGAACAAGAAGAGAAGAATTTCCTGGGTTAGCCGAGATGAAAGGGGTGAGGAAGAAGGTTTGTCCGGTGGCAAAGTCTACAGCCCCTCTTGCTGACTAGAGTACAGCCTAGGGTGACCAGACCGTCCGAGCGGTCGGTGCGGCATCCAGGGGCACCTCCCATCACACAGCGAAAAAACGGACATACTTTTTTCTCAAATTCCGCGAGCAAACAAACACACACATTGCTAAACAAAAACACAACCTCGGGGTGGAGGTGAAATGGGGTGGCGTCCAGGTGCAAAGCGGGTGCAATCTTACCTCCTAATGAGGATCACGATGGTGGTGATCATGGCGGCCAGAAACACGAAGCCGCCGAACACGCCCAGAGCAATGATGGCACCTGCAGCAGCACAGTCATTAATCCCGCGTACTTCCTACGTGTCTCAACAGCCTGATTCCGAGGGAACGGTTCGTCGCTCTGTCTCTCTCGGGGTGCCCCATGAGAGCGACAGAGACAGGGCGACCGCCGTGCCGGCGTGCCACGGAGGCGAGTCCGCACCTAGATTGAGTTTGGCTCCGAGCGTGTCTCTCTTCTCCGCGTCCACGGCGCCGGGCAGGTCGGCCCCGGGGGCGTGGCCCGCCCTCGAGTTGGAGCCCTCCGGGGTGTCGCTGGGCTGCGGCGGGTTGTGGGACGCCACCACGATGCGGGGTACGTGCGCCGCGCCGCTGGCCTGGCTGTCCGACCCGGCGGGCCGGCCCAGCTCCTGCAGCTCGTTCACCTCCTCCTCCAGCACCTGTCGGGAGTCATGAGCGTTACGGCGAGCTCGCTTCGGGACCTTCGGGACCCCCGCGTGGCCGAGCGCACTAGCGCACCGACCCGCGGCACCGGTTGCAGGTTCGAATCCAACTCACCTCCTCCTCGACGTCCTCCTCCTCCTCCTCAGGCTGCGGCGGCTTGGGGGCGGCAGTGGGCCGCGGGGGCGGAGGGCTGAAGGGCACCGGCCTGGGCCTGAGGAAGGGCGGCGGGGGCGCGGTGGCCGGCCTGGTGGGCTGTGGCGGCGCGGGCGCGTGGGTCACCGTCGTGGACGTCGGCGGTCTTGACGGCGCGGGCGATGTCCGGGCCGGCAGCTTGCCGCTGGGGCCGACGGGCGGGGGCTTCACGTCCTCTGCGGGCAGCGAAAACGCACATTAAAGGCAGAGTCCGAGGAGGCCCTTCGTTGGAACAGCGAAGGAGGCTCACTCACCCTTGCACACGGGCGGGTCCTGGTTCCACAGCCCGCTGGGCAGGCACGTGAGGGTCTTGGGGCCGAGCAGCTTGTATCCGCGCGTGCTGCAGCCGTACTCCACCACGGCGCCCACCCTGGTCGAGTTGGTCTTGAGGACGGCGCGGCCGTGCTGGATGGCGGAAGGCTCCTCGCACTCGATGGCTGCGGGCAGAGGCTCGGTTACCGTCTCTCTCTGTCTCTCTCACGCGCACGGCGCCAGGCGGGGTGCCAGGAGGGGTGCGAGGCACAGTGGGCCAGAAGACCGGCGCAGCGGCCAAAACTCTAGACGCGTTTTGAGCTCCAGAGTCGCTAAATGGGACTCGAACCGAGCGTGTGACCCCACCAATGGATTGCTCTCCGAACGAGGAATCCATTGGTGGGGTCACACGTTCGGTTCGAGTCCTGTTTGGCGACTCTGGAGCTCAAAACGCGTCTAGAGCTTTGGCCGCTGCGCCGGTCTTCTGGTCCACTGTGCGAGGGAGACAGAGGGCTACTCACGCTGGCACTTGGGCGGCGGCCCGTTCCACCGCTCGTCGATGTCGCAGGTGAGCAGCGCGCGGCCCAGCATTCGGTGGTGCTCCTGGCACGAGTACAGCACGCGCGACAGGTAGGACACGGTGCCGTTCAGCAGCCGGTACGAGCCGTGGGAAATGTCGGCCGGGAAGCCGCACTGGATGCCTGTCAAGACAAGAGCCAAGGACGGTTACGACGGGTTTGTTTGCCCCAAAGCTTGGCCTCAGCCTGGCCAGACGGCACTCTGTCTCTCTCGCACCCTCAAGGGACGCCCCGTGAGTGCGAGAGAGAAGGGGCTGCGGTGTACTCACTCTTGCAGACGGGCGGGAACTCGTCGTAGAAGCCGGTCGGCAGGCAGGTCCGCGTGCCCGGGCCCACCAGGAGGTGGCCCTCGTCGCACGAGTACTCGATGGTGGCGCCCACGTTGAAGCTGCTGGCCACCATGGTGGAGTTGGGCGGCTGCTCGGGCTTGCCGCACGCCTTGGGCTGGTGCTGGCAGATGTAGTTGATGCTGGCCTTGCAGTTGGTGTCGGACCACAGCCAGCCCTTGCTGCCGTCGTAGCGCGCGCAGTCGTCGTCGCCGCCCGGCAGGTTCCAGAAGGACACCGTCACGTCGCCGCCGTTGATCCACTTCCAGTTGTTGCGGTCCTTGGGGTCGCGCACCGCGCCCATCCAGTACTGGCTGGCCGTGTCGCTCCTGCAAGCAAAGTTCAAACCATTTTTCCCTTCTCAAAAAAATGAAACATCAGTGGTGTGCGAATAGCGGGTGTGATTCTGCAAGTAGTGTTCGCCTGGAGAAGGAGGCCAGGTAGACCAGGCGGACCAGGCACCAGATTGTCGGCTTGGCAACAGTTGTTCATCCGGTGCGGGCAGGGCCGGCAGGAGGACGCAGCAGCCAGCCGGCGCCGTCCCACAGTGGGCCAGAAGACGGGTGGAGGCGGCCAAAACTCGAGACGCGTTTTGAGCTCCAGAGTCGCTAAATGGCTCTCAAATCGAGCGTGTGACCCCACCAATGGATTCCTCGTTCGGAGAGCTATCCATTGGTGGGGTCACACGTTCGGTTCGAGTCCCATTTAGCAACTCTGGAGCTCAAAACGCGTCCACAGTTTTGGCCGCCACCACCGCTCTTCTGGCCCACTGTGCGTCCCCCTTCCCAGCCCGGATGCCCCCGACGGGGCCGACGAGACCGCGGCCAGGACGCGGCCTCGGACCACGGTGGGTGGCCTACCCCCGGGCGCATAGCGCGCATAGCGAGCGAGACGACAGTGACGGCATGGTGACGGTACCCACCTGTGCCGGCGCCAAAGCTCCCAGCTGATGAATCCCTGCAGGGCCGGGTTGCTCTCGGCCACCAGGTCGCCGCCGCGCGCCCGGCAGAAGGCCAGCGCGTCCCGGAAGTTGAGCGGCTGCCGCGAGTAGAAGATGTAGCACTTGCCGTTGTAGGTGGCCGTGCTGCCGGGCGGCTGGTCGCGGAACTGCGGGCACCGCTCGATGGGCAGGGCCTGGGTTCGAATACCGGGTCAGCATTTTAGTTTGGTTCACACACAATATTGTTGTTTTTTGTACGTTTGTTTTTAAGAGGGGATTTCGACGCGTGCCGAGAAGACTGAATGGAGCGATCGCAGTGACGGCATTCCGCCGCCGCTAAATGAAGCGTTTGCAAATAGCGCCGTGCTCTGCGTCGCTCTGCGTCGCTCTGCGTCCCGCGCGGCTCGGCTTTCTCTTTTTCCGCGCGGAGATCCCCTCGACCCCGGCTCGGCTCGGCTCGGCTCGCAGGGCTTATCCCGCGGCGCCGTGCTTCCCAGCGCCGCGACGCCCCGGCGTGCGATATCGAAGTAAAAGAAACGCCTCAGAAGGAGAAGAAGAAGAAACGCAGAAAAAAAGGACGACCTGCGGCTATATCCTGAGCGATAATCCAATTGCCCCAGTGGCCTCGCCCCCGGCGGCCAAAGCGGAGGGAGCGACGCTATCCGTTCAAGGGCGGCACGCCGCGGCACGCCGCCGGCGTCAAGGCGAAACTCTCCATTTTTAAAACAACCTGCGACAGCTAGAACTATTTTTTTTTTCACGGAACAAATGTGTAGTTGCCTCCTGAAATTGGAATTCTTCATTTGTCATACTGTTTTGTTTCCGTTATAAAAACAAACGAAGAATCGAGTGAAATTTTCTAAGGATTTCAAGTGACGCTGTAAATTTTCCGTAGTGATTTAAGTCGAATAAACAAACCAGCACAACTATAGTACGTATACTATACTTCTAGAGTGCGGAGACAGTCAGGGTCTTTTGTTCGACCTCTTTATTTTTCGCTTTCCCGCGCAAACGGATTGAATCCCCAAAATGGCGGCTGTCGTTGGAAGAGTCGCCGGAAGAGAGGGTTGTTGAGGCGCCAAAAGCAGTCTGCCTTTGGGTCCAGCAGGCAGTGCCTTTGGCTCGCCTGGGCGCGCCTCGCCGAGTACCGCGGCAGGTAATGGCAGCCCGGCGTGTAAACGTGCGGCGTGCGCAGGAAACGACATGCACACGATATCATAGGGGCTGGCATGGCAGTGCCGTGGCAGTGCCATGGGCACGCATTACACAGAGAAAGCTCCTTCCACCAATTTCTGTTCTGCGTTAAGGCAGTTGCTTTCGACTCGCTACGCGGGCCGCGCGCGCCGCACCTGAGTCGCGCACAACGCGGATGTATTATTATGAGGCCGGCCGGGTTGACATGAAGAGCGAAAACAACAGCAAAGTGGATTTTATTTTTGCAGGGCGCGTTGTTTTGTCTGGAAATTAAATGAAAAATACTACTGCGGCTTGAGTGCGGGGCTTCGCGGCCGTTTCGCATGAAACAAGCCGACTTGACGAATCGATTCCCAGTGGGTCAGACTCGGTGTCGAGCAAGACTCAGTCCGTGCGTCCCGCGAGAGTGCGAGGGAGACGGAGCGCATCTTTCAGCTTGACGAATCTTCCACGCTATTCGCAGCGCGCCGCGCCTATTCGCAGTGTGGAAAATGCACCGGCCGTGCCGTGGCGGCGTCGCGCTGCCGCACTGCCAAGGCACGGCCGAGGCACTGCATGCCGCGTGGGAGAAAGGTTAGCCGGTTCGCTTCACTTGACGTTTCACACTCACTAACTCAGTCACCTATGAGCCGTCATTAGACGGCCGTAATGAGGGAGCACGGTTTACGATGGGAGCGCCTCGATGGCGGGGCGGGGCGGGGCGGGGTGGGGTGGGGCGGGGTGGGGTGGGGCGGGGCGGGGCAGCGAAAGGGGACCAGCTTCGTTTAAACTAACACACACAGGCACGCAGGTTTGACTTGCAGCGCCGTCTTTGGGGGTTGACCTGTACAGCAGACTAATCCCGCACGGTATCGTTCGGTCTCTCTCTCACACTCATAGGGCGTCCCGCGAAGGTGCGAGGGAGACAGGGCGGCGCGGGACGCCGTGTGGTTAGGCCGTCCCGCCGACACCGCTGCACCCCGGGCCTGCCTACCCAGCGGCCGTAAGGGGCTGAGCGCACTCATCGCTCTGTTTCGCTCGCACTCACGGGGCGTCGCCGGGATCCGGGATCGGGTCGGGCTCGAGTGGGCTTGACTCGGCGAGCCCATGTGGGCTTCCCAAGCCCACTAAGAGCCTACGATCCGTAGTGGGCTTCTCAAGCCCATTAGGCGTCTCTAGGGTCAACCTCTGTCCGCTTGGTGGCAGCGCCTGTCGGGACGGGGAGGCAGGGGAGAGGCGGGGCGGGCAGACGGCAAACGGGCTAGTGGGCTCAAGAAGCCCTCTACGGAACGTGGGCTTTGTCGTTCGGAGTGGGCTTTTCGTGGGTCGGGCTCTAAGCGGGTGGGCTCGACGTGGGTCGGGCTTTTAGTGGGTTTGGCGAAAAAGCGCGAAGCCTACTAGAGCCCACCCCGATCCCGGCTCTGCATGGCGATGCCTGAACCACTGGGCGAGGTATCGAGGCCGTGCGGTGGCCGACGCCGCGTCGGTGTCTGCCTACCTGGTCCGTGTAGACGAAGGCCTCGCAGATGGAGAGCTGCGTGGGCGCGGGGCCCTCGAGGTGCACGGAGACGAAGGCGCCGGGCAGCGGCGGGTTGCAGGGCAGGAAGAGCGGCTTGCCCTCCTCGAGCTGCCCCGTGAAGCGGTTGCACACCGGGTTGGTGCCCAGGTCGGGCCGGTTGTTGCCCACCCGCACCACGATGGTGGCCGGCTTGCCCGCGCCTGGAACGCAAAAGGCACGGGTTCAAATACCAGCGCCGGCATATTTTTTTGCACACAAGTACCTGTAATGCAAAGGGGGCAGGGGTTCAAATACCAACTCTGGCATTCTTTTTCACTCTAGGAACTGTAATGCAAAAGGCAGGGGTTCAAATACCAACACTGGCATTCTTATCACACAAGGACCTGTAATGCAAAAGGCAGGGGTTCAAACACCTAGCACTGCAATTTATTTTGACACAAGAAAAGGTCGGAAACTTGTTGCGGCATAAAGTGGGCTGTCATTTTTTTCCCCTTGCTGCTCGTCATTTTTGCTCAGCACGACACACCGCGACGACTTCCGACTCCACGTGACCCTGCCTCGCCTGCAGCCTGCCTGCAGCCCCGGCGGCGGCTCGCGGTCCGCGGCACGGCGAGCTTCACTGTCGCTTTCTCATCGGCAAGCAGCGAGTCTAGCGCCGAGTTGTGGCGCAGAATTCACGCCGCGCGCGCCGCGCTACACGCTCGAGAAAAAACCCGCGCGATCATTTTAGCAATTTCCACACGCGTCAACTACCACTCGGAAAAAACTTTTAAAAAAATCGGCTATTTTTTTTTTTAAATGAAGGCTTTTATTCTCCACTTGAATTAGATGTTGACTTTAGTTTGGCTGGTCCGTGCACTGTCAAAAATAATCGGAATTGGACTATGCAATGGTGTGCGAAAATATCGACAACCCGATGCACATGACATGGAATTCTCTAGGGGTAAGTTGGGGAAGAAAAGTACAGCGTAAGAAACGTACACCCTTATGGAGCCGATACCTTGACTTTGAGCCATCCGCCGACCGGTTATTTTAACTTAACGTGAAAATCTGAGTACGAAATCCCTTACAAATGGATGTCAAGATGCCCTCTGTAGGCCACGGGGAGTGTACTTTTCTTACCCTGTACTTTTCTTCCCCAACTTACCCCTAACCTAACCTAAATAATGGATGACTATCATCTGAAATCCCGCGTGGTTGGGACTTCCCCGGGTCGATCCTGTTTCCCTTTCTTTTCGCAGCCCCTCCCGCCGGCTCGCACTGTGCGAAAAAACCACAGTGAATCCCGTTAATTTTTTTGCCGGGATTTACTGTAGTTTAGAACACAGGATCTACTGTGCCTGGCGACAGTATTTACTGTACCTGGTACAGGATATTCCGTACTCCACTCCTGTGGTACAGTAAATCCCGTACAAAGTACAGTAGATCCTGTCAAAAAAGTACAGTAAATCCTGTACTCTGAACTACAGTGACAGCTGTACTTATCACTACAGGATTTACTGTGATTTTTTCCCAGAGTGCGGCCTGCTCGCGTGTCCGGACGTCATCTCGTCGGTCGGCTCGTTCCCGGAAGCCGTCATCAAGGGCCTCCTCTTCTTTGTCTCGAAGCGCCCCTCGGCCGGATGGGAAACTTCGATCTATCGATCATGTGTGTTCGAGCAGGGCGGAGCAGGGCGCTCTCTCGCGAACGGCAACCGGCGGCAACCAGCCCATGGAGTCGTCATAATGTAGAGCCACTCGGCCAAGCGCGGCCTGCAGCAAGGCTGAGGCACACCGCGCGGGCGGGCCCGGGTTCGAATCCCCCCGCAGGGCGAGGCGGGGTAATTATATTTTTTATTAAGCGGCCCTTAGAGCACTGCGTGAGTCATGCAACGATAGTGTCGCGATAGTGGCGGCGGCGGCGGGGCGGTGGTCCCGTGGGGCCATGGTGGGGCGATGGACCCGTGGGGCGATGGTCCCGTGGGGCGGTGGTCCCGTGGGACCGCGTCTCCGTTTTTCGCCGCGTGTGCCGCGTGCCTAGAGGGCCGCCGCCAGGCCGACGCACGCCGCGCTCGTCTCGCATTGTATTCCGTTCACACATATCCCCGACCCTGCACTGCAGGGGCCTGGCCGCGGCCGCAATGCTTTCTCTGCAGCGCGCCTCCTCAAGGATCGCTCTGTCTCCCTCGCACTCGCGGGGCGCCCCGTGGGGGTGCGAGGGAGACAGAGCGAGGCCCTTCGTGCTGCGGACGGCGACGACGTTCAGAAGGCGGCGGTGGAATCGAAGCTGCAAAACGACTCGCTGCTGGTCGAGCGGCCGAGGCGGGAGAGAGAGAGAGAGAGAGAGAGAGAGAGAGAGAGAGAGAGAGAGAGAGAGAGAGAGAGAGAGAGAGAGAGAGAGAGAGAGAGAGAGAGAAATCCCGCGGTGCGCCAAAGGTCGGGGTTATGGACGGCGCGAATCGGCAGCATGTTGTTCTAGTGGCGGCATTTTTATTTTATTATTCCCCTGCTTCCCGCAGGGCCGCAGGCACAGCTGCGGTCGACACGGACAGTTTCCGTGCGCAAATGTACACGTTCGTTCCACCGCCTTGCTATTCCGCGATTTTTTTTTACAGCCCGCCGCCGGCTGCGGGATGACACACCGCGCGCAACCCTCCCTGGAGTCCGTTTCCGGTGGAGTGGCGGGGCGGTCGGGCGGCCACCGCGGGTCTCTTTTCGCTTTCCTCCGCAAACTGCCCGCTTCCGTCCGGAAAAAAGGGCACGAGTCGCCCCCGCGGCCGGGCAGCGCCCTGTCTCTCTCGCGCGCCTGGGACGTTCCGAGGAGGTGCGAGAGAGACGGAGCGACGAAAAAAGCAGGACACTTGGGGAAGGATTCGCAAGCAAGCGGAAGGCCACAGCTGGACCCGCTGGACCCGCTGGACCCTCAGGACCAGGAGGAGGGAGAGTCAGAGCGGAACCAGAAGCAACGCGGGGGTGGTTTATGGACACCGCGACGACCTTTATGATCTCGAGATCTCGAGTCCAGCACCGCTTCTGCTTCGACTTCTCCTTCTCCATCTAGAGGAGGCAGCCCGTGGACAACACACTGTGAGAACCTTCTAACTATTTTCAGCTCATGGTTTAGCAGCGTGAGGTTTTAAGAGAGCACAATCCGGTCGGGTTGCCTACTCTGCGGACCACAGGCGCTCGCAGCCAGTGCCTCCCACGGTCCGGAGAAACAGACAAATGACGGTGTTTGAACCTCTGACCTCCGACCCGCGCGGCCGGTTCGATAACCGCGCGGCCACCAGGGGAGTACTCACCGCAGCAGGGCTTGCCGAAGTCGAGCCGCACCAGCTGCACCATGTAGGGCTCCAGCAGGTTGACGTACCACCAGGGCGCGCGCTCCGCCCGGGTCAGCGTGCACGTGTCCGAGGCGTAGAAGGCGCTGGTCGAGCCGTCGATGGCCTTCTGGGGGAGGCCGCCCGCCGCCGTCGAGATCTGCATCGGCGCCTTGCCGGCGGCCACGTTCAGCACTGCAACAGCACCAGAAAAAAACCGTCAGCAAACACTCCGATTGGCGTATCGCGGACGCTCGTCCCACACAAAGCGCCGACACTTTTTCCGAGTGTGAATGCAAGGAGGCGGTGGCCTGCCCAGCGGTGGCAGGGGGAGAGAGAGAGAGAGAGAGAGAGAGAGAGAGAGAGAGAGAGAGAGAGAGAGAGAGAGAAACCGCCAATTGCCGTAATCCGGCGGCGAGGAGTTTTCCTCCCTGAGGAGGATATCCTTGTCTCTCCGAGATGCGGATGCGATGACAGAGGACGATGATGATGGCGAACCTACAGCAGAGCGTTATTGTTCGCCTATTCTCTCTCTCTCTGTCTCGGCCAGGGGAAGGGGCGGGGCATAGCTTTCACCTTGTCACGTGCGAGAGCACCAACACATGTACGTCGCGCGCGCACTGCTTGTGACGACGTCCGACTGTCTCACGCACGCACACACCGGGCGCACACACGGCCACACATACACAATCACACACTCACACACCGACGCCGCCAACGCACACACACACACACGCACACGGAGTCGCGCGTACGTGGAAGTACATATGGAGTCGTGTTTTCACATTCTCCGGGCGGTACCGCCGCACCAGTGTACTGCACTGCGAGGCGCCACGGCGGTATGCCGGGCGATGCATTGGGACGTGCCTCTCCAAAGCCGCTTCGTGTTGACACGCAAATTGCAGAGAGACGGCGGGCGAGCTCGGGGAGTTCAAAGTGCGAAAAGAAGAGCCGCAACTTTCTGCTCCCTGAAACCTTTTCCCCAGTGTACTAGAGTCCATTTCACCGCCAGAAAGCGAGTCTTGTGAAAGAAAACCCATGTGCACCTTGAGCACCTCATTAAAGGCCGTGAGGACGTCACTGAAATGGCGTCATCCTTGAAGGGCTCTTGGCCGACTTGGGACTTCCGAGTAAAAAAATAATCTGAATTTGGGTTGAGCGTGACTTCCACCGCGAGTCATCGGACGGTCCGAAAGTGGGGCGGGGTGCCCGGTTTGTACCTGTTTCACCGACCTGGCCAGAACATAATGACGGGTCCTCCCAAAACCGTTTCATTCCTTCCCGTAAAAAAAATGAATTTGGTGTTCATCTTTCTTTTGAACACCAAGCACGTTTTTCTAACGCGAGCCAGAATAAAAGTAAGAGCGACTGTATTGGGCGCGACGCAGAAAAAGTGGAAACGAATGCATGTTCAAACTGAATAACACAGCTCGCCCTTCTGTCACATTCGAAACGAACAACAACAACAACAACATCAACACCGACGCGTGTTGCTGGCATCACCGCTGAAGATGGTCGGCTTGTCACGGCAACGCCGCCAACCCAGATAGAGTCACGACCTAGAGCAATGTCGGTGCCGGCCTGCAGGCCTGCCGGCCGCTCTGGCCGTGACGGGACCGCCAGTCAGACGCCAGTCAGACTCCACCGCCAGAGTTCCAGGGTCCGGCCGCAGCCAGTCAGGCAGTCAGGTGTCGAGGAAGCGGTCCATTCCAGCGCTGCACCACCCTTTTCCTTGCCCTCACTTTTCAAGTTTTTATTTTAATTTTGAAATAGTATTGATATGAAAAAGCGTTTTACTGAATTTTACTGAAATGAAAAAATGTGGTGGTGCTAAGGGAAATTTCTTTAGGATTCAAGTAAAAAAAAAATAGACATGAATAGCGGTAGGTGCTTAATTCTAACAACATCAACAATTTAGTCTAAATTCAATGCAAGATCCTCTGGATGCGGTGTTTGGATTCGGGCCCGAAATTGTTGTTGTTTCAGTATCCGCCCCTCGGCGTGGACTTTACGGGCGGACCCTTAATGATTGTCTCTGGAATGCGGCCCCGGGGCTGTGGGGGGAAAAGGGTTGGGTGGAGGGGATCAGACGGCCGGTGCATCAGAGGGCCCCTCCCACCGCGACGCACCGCGGCGCGCGCGCTGCCGGCATCAGGAGAGATTAGGCTCATCTTTCCCGACGGAGACCCAAACGCACGAGAGGGGGCCGAACCGCGCGGTCCGGTCCCGAACACCGGTCTCGTCGCGCTGTCGTCTCTCTCGCGCCCGCACGCTGCTCCCCACGAGTGCGAGAGAGACAGAGCGACGATAGACGACTGGCAGCCGGTGCAGCGGGAATAGGAATATCGACACGGCGCGGCTTCGACACGGAAATTAATTACAACGAAAAGCACTAATCATTTTGTTCGCGGTAGCGCGTGCTTCCAAGCGTCCAGAGTTGTTGTTCCAAACTATTTTTATGATGTTTTTGTAGTCTTTTTTTCTAACTAGACCACCTCCAGGGAGGTCAGGTGCGGCAGACGAATGAATGAGAACCTGACGAGACGAGCGCATGCCAGTCTGAAGGGGTCTAAAAACTTTGAGAAACTCTGATTTTTTTTCCTAAACCTCTCGATCCCGTTCTTCGCACAGCTTCACGGTGGGCTGCAACACGCGCGAATGACAATGAGTTCCGCTGCGATGGAAATAACACTCCAATTCATAATTACTATCTGCCCCTGTCTGAGTGTGTTTGTGTGTGTGCCTGTGTGAGTGTAAGTCCTGAACCAATTTCAGCGGCCACCTCGAAGGAAGCGGAGCATAGGAGGCGATGCGCGCCGCCAAAAGTGATTCATCAGCGAATTGGTGCGCGCCGTGGCGCGGCTTCTAGGAACAACAACAACAAGCAGGTCTAACGGGGCGTGATTCCACAACATTGAGCGCCTTCCGTGCAAGATTTTTATTGTTCTTGTACAAAATGGTCAATCTCGTCGTCAAAGTTGGAGGGTGGACATCGAGGGAAGCGCTCCATCTAGGCCTATTGCGACACTGGCCCGGCCGGGACCGTGCCTGGCCCTTCCCGTCCTCGGCCCGTCGACGGCCTGGACATTTGGAAAGAGCCCCGGGCGCCCTGGTCTGTTGGCTTTCCCTGTCTCGCGGAAGTGTCCGCTTGGACGCCCTTTTTGCGGCGCCGCGCAGCGTAATGTGGCCCTACAGCGTAACTGCATTAAGCGCACTTAAAGCTGTTTATCATCGTGCCGCCTCGTTTGCGTCATGGGATTAATAACCAGGGCCGGAACCAGGATGTGATTGGCTAGTCGGCCGGGTGGACCCGTGCACGGAGGCTGCGTTAAAGCCACCCAGGTGGAAACTTGGTCACTAACTCTCAAAAGCCGCTGTTGGCAAATCGTAACATTATCTCGGAATGAGGTAGTGCAACCAGGAAAATGTTTTCATTGAGAGGACCACGTCTACGAAAAAGAGTCTTTACCATTTATGTCAAATATCAGCTTCGTAACCAGTTCAATGGTCAATTTTCCCTCAAGTCTTCCAAAGCGTTTTCTGTGTGTACACCCAGAAAAGACGTTTCTTGAATTTTGATTTTCTTGGTTTTCGTAAGAAAAAAAATCTTGACACAAAAAAATTTTTTCTTCATTTAAGGAAAAAATTGGATTAAGAAAAATTTTCTAGCAAAAACCAAGAAAAGTTACATTTTTCTTGACCCAAGAAGCCTTTTTTTGGGTGTACTTGGATAAGCCCAGTGCCAGCTTCCGCTACGGACGCGGCCAGGCCTCTGCAACGGCACCCAGGGCGCCAAGTCTGAGGTGCCCTTCATTGCGTCGGGTGACGCATCATTGCGCGCTGCACGCGAAGCACGCGAACGCCGCGTGTCACGCCGACATCGCAGCGGACTGTACCTCCGCACCGCTCCGCACCGCGTCGGCTGGCCGACCGCTGCACTGTGGCGCCCTAGGCTAGTCCGGACGGAACTGTAACGGGTCCACGCGGCCGCCTCTGACAAATCGCTCAACGCTTTTTCAATTTGACTGCCTCGTTATTTTTTTCTAATTTTTACCCTCTCCGAACTGAGTGAGGGATTGATGGTTATTGTCCTGCCTTGTCTGTTTTTACTAAGAAATTGTATTTTGTACTGCGTGGAAGATAAATTTATTCTTAGGTGTCTGTCGCAGAACATTGTAAATAAGCAACACTTTATCTTTCTTGGTGCATCTTAGACCAGTAAGTGCTCGTCCTCAGGATGAGCATGGGCCGTGCGGGTCAGTGATTCGCAAGGCACACACTTGCGCTCGGTCCTCTGCGTGTCCCCGGCGCGTGCGTCCCACGTAACAACGCCGGCCTGACCCTATCTCCGGACTCAGTGACCGGTGACTAGGCGGGGTGCGGAGCGATGCGAAGCAGTGGCGAAGGGACCGCGGCGGCCGAGCGCGACATTGCGTAAGGACAGCTCCAAAAGAGGCTTCGGCGGGCAAAGGCACGGCACCCACGGGAGGGCTCGCGCGCAATCCCAAGACGAAGAAGAAGAAGAAGAAGAAGAAGAAGAAGAAGAAGAAGGAGGAGGAGGAGGAGGAGGGGTGGGGAGACGGCGGGCAGGGCTCAGTGGCCACTCCGATGAGCCCTTCCGGCGGCCCTAGCGGCACCACGCCTTGCTGCAACGCCACCCTACGCCCTACAGGGACCTACAGGGCCGAGCCGGCCGACCTGGCCGACCTGGTCATCAGACAATGGGCATCCTGTGCCGCACAATTGTCGCTTACGCATTGCGTCAGCCGGGCGCTTATCAACGCGCTCGGACGGCGGCAAGCCTGGCAGCAAGCCTGGCAGCAAGACTGGCAGCAAGCCGCCCGCGGATTCAAATCTCCCCCTCCTCGCACCTCTCTTGAGTTTTACAAAAGGCAAAACACTAAAAACTTGGGAAGAATTGGTTCACTACGAAAGAGGCTAAAGGAAGGACTGTTAACTTTTGTTCATTTCAGACTGAGAAACCTGAACTTCATTTTGCTTGATTTTTAGGCATTCTGGTAGGATGTGAGAAAAAAGCCAAAAGTTTTTGCTTTATCTGAAGACCAATATTTTTCACACAGAGAAAGGCAATTTGTAAATTTTAAAACGACGGTTTATTTCTGTGGTTTTGCATTGTTGTAGCTCCTTTCTGTGTTGTGTGGTTTTAAAAACTGGCCCTGAACGGTGCGGTACTC